TATTGATCTTTTACGACAAGAGAAATATCCCTCGATATAAACAATGAATTGCTGAATAAAAAATGTTTTCGCAACATCAACCTCAAAATACCAACTATCAGTATATCACAAACTGATTTACTTTGCCTTATCTCTTTTTAAGAGATGCCAAATTATTGATTTAATTTATTTATAATTTTCTTTTTATACTAAGATCTCATAAAAATTTCTTTTGATATAAATATTATACTATAAGTAATTTATTTAATCTTTAACAGGGAGATGGAGGTGGACCTCTAGTCTGTCAAGATGATGGTTTTTATGAACTTGCCGGACTTGTATCATGGGGATTTGGCTGTGGCAGAGTAGATGTTCCTGGAGTTTATGTCAAAGTGTCATCTTTCATCGGCTGGATAAATCAAATAATCAGTGTTAATAATCTCTAATACGATTCCTTATTAAAAATTCGAGATGGTGCATTTTTTTAATACATTCAGTGAAGAGGCTTTAAAAAGTCTCTATATGAAATTAGATATTACTCTAAGAAGCGACTTAAAGAAGTAATATCTCAATATCCTATATTAAGCAGTTACTTTAAAAAAATAATTGCATGCACACACAACGGAAATATTTTATCATTAAGATGCTCATAATCGAGAGATAGTACCTGGCTCAACTATGAAGCACTGAAAAGAATCTTGGAAAAATATAAATAAAACTGAAAATCATTAAACAAATGCAAGTCTCGTCCTCTAGAAAGGAATCAAACTCAATCATTCACAAAATTCACTGATTGAATTTGTCTTATATCAAAATGCAGAACTAAAGCATATCCAATAACATTATTTATTGTAGACTGATAATAAAATTTAGACTGACTCTTGAGTACTTAGCTGATTGTGCAAACGTTTTGTAGGTTTTTAAACTTGGATTTGTTTTAAATAGTTGCAAAAGGATAAAGACAAATACAACAGAGATCAATTATGTTTCAGGCAGAAATATTAAGATATTTGTAAATTTTCGAGCATACAAGATAATAACGAATGAATTGGTAATTAGAAACATAGTTTTGTGAAGAGAAATGGAAAAATATATATATATATAGCCCAAGCTGTTATAGTATTAGATATAAAAATAGTTTGGTGAATTTACCTGTTATAGTTAAGCATTAGCCTAATAAACCAATTTGAAAATGTACAAAACAATAAATTTTAAATTATTTATAATTGTTTTAATATGTACATATACTCTTAGGTAATTTATACAAATTTTAAAAGTATAAGTGAGTTCTAAGGGATGACTCAACATGTAATGTAGCAATTGTATATTTTTTCATAACCATTTTAAATGGTTTACTGTAATGATATATTGACATGAAGTAAATAATCATAAACAGTTTACTATTTTTTAAATAGTCTCAATTATTTCAATCCTTCATCTAGTCAACTTAATCTTCAGTATTTCATCAACAGAGATTATATATTATATTTTAAAAATCCATATAATACACCAGAGATGGAAGAATAGAGCTGAGAAAATATGTTACAATTTTAAAAGAATAAAAAAAAAAGTGTATCATAGAAAACCAGATACCCACTTAAAGATTCCAATTATATAAATTGGTTTAGTTGCTAAATGAAAATAAAAGAAGTTCAAATTTAGGAATTGATTAATTTAATAAAACAACTGTATTATTATTATTAGTTCCTAGAATCTCTTAGGTGGGGACATAGGTCCGTTACAAAGTTCTGCCATGCATCTTGATCTTTAGCTAGCTCCTCGACTTCAAACCAGGCTCATTTCCTTCTCTAGGCCGCCTTTGTCTTCGCTGGCCTTGGGGGTTCCACTCTAGACTGTTGTTTTATATCGTTGTGCTCCTTCCTAAGCGTATGCTCCAGCCATATTCATTTCCAACTTTTCATGACCTGATTTATCAGGGCTTGATTAATTCACGACCAGTGCTCGGCATTGGAGATTCGGCAGGCCACTATACTCATAATATATTCCACAGACATTTATTGAAGAATGTCTGTAGCTTCTTAGTCACCTGCTTGGTAATTTTCCAAGTCTCACAAGTATATAGCAGAACCAACATAACATTTGTTTTGAAGATGCGAAGCTTGGTCCCACTCCTGATTTCTAGCGATCTTCACACTAGCCAAAGCTGTGAGATTGCCAAACAGTTTTCCTTGTAGGGCTTCCAACATCTTCATCAGCCCCTCCATCCTGGCTCACCATACTCCGAAGGTACCAGACTTCGGTAACCCTTTTAGGAATGGTGATAGACAGGAATGTATTCTCTCCCCATATCTTATTTCTGATGGTAATCGACATCATTTTAAGGAAAGCTCTTCCTAGATAATCACGACTTTAGTGGAGGCTCACGTAAATACTCGAAGATCTGGACTTTGCAGATGACTTATGTTATTTCGCCCAATGTTTCCATGATGTGCAGGAGAAGCTAAATGAACTTCAGGAAAACGCACAAAGCACTGGCCTCAATATAAATGCTACTTAAGCAAAATGTATGCGAGTGAATAGTAGGAGTCAGGCAAATCTTTTAATAGAAAATGAAATAAAACAACTTTATTAATAATATAATATTGCTGAAAATAATAATTCCATTAATGATTTTTTTTTAAATATAGGTTGAACATAAATAATCACTTATTGGACTGGACAATATGTGAGACTGTTTCAATGGAAATTTTAATGCAGTAGTCCTTTTAACCTGGACTAGATGGGAGCATTCCATAGAAGTGTGATTTAAATGAAATTTGTTGTAAAATGCATGTAAAATATTTTCCTCATAAATTCATCTTTTCTTTCAGCTTAATTTTATTTTCAATATTACATACTGCAGATTTGACCTAGGGTCAACAAAATAAAACAAATTTATGATTAAAACTCTAAATTTATCATACAGTAACATAAAATGAAAAAAAAAAAATATTCAGCTAACAAACATGTATAAATGAGTTGTAGCAGGTTTGTATCAAAACATGTATGTATCCCTGTGAAAGACTTTAATACTCCTTAAAGGAAGGCCTATATACATGTATATAAAGAAATATTAGATGTAAATACTGCTATTATAAATGTATATAAATAAAGACTATTATTATTATTATTGTTATGCACAAATAGATGAAAAATTTGCATTTACCAAAACCAACTCTGTCTTTAAAACTCCATCCTTTATAAAAATAAAACTTATAGATATATAAAAAATCTTAAAACTGAAAATCATTATACTTCTTAAACAATAGTAATTACTTGGTCAACTACTCCCAAATACTTGGGGAAAGATATAAAATAAGTTATTTAAATTATCCAACATGTATTATAATACTAAAAAAGCAATAGTCAAATTAAAATAACATAAATATATAAAATTGACTGTATAAATAAATCATGAAAATTTCTTTTACAGTTGAAGATTTTTTGGAATTTCTACAAATGACTTTTTCATGAAGTGAATGGAGTTTTATGTGAAAATTTTAATGTATTCATGTTTTTTTACATTAATTCATAAATTATTAAAGAATATATAAATTTTATATCATTTCTTGATGTTTGGTATAATAATATTTATTGCTCCTGATGCTAATTTTCTTTTCAGTCTGTTAGTCATTAAAAATATTTTTTTTTTTTTTTTTTACAGAATTAGTCATGGAGATAATCAAAATATTGATAGGTCTTGTTTTTCAGTTGGAAATTTATACTTACTTAATAACTGATTTGTTTATAGAGTAAAGAAAGTTTTAAATAAAAATTTAGTATAAATTAAAAATTGTTTCCAGTATATGTCTATATATATGACTAACTTAATTGAGTCAATTTGAGTAAATTTATTTCTGTGCTTTTAACATTCGAGGAAAAAAGCGTTCCATAATCAGCTTTTGTTGACTGTATGGTCCAAAAAAAGTTGGCTTAAGAATGGGGTGTAAAAAAAGAAAAACAATAACCAGCCTGGTCTAATTTCTCAATTCTATTAAAATTAAGAAATTAGATGTGGGCATAATATACAACACACAATCGTCTGTGGGCGGGGTGGCCGAATGGGCCACCACCGTTGACCGGCAACCTGATATATGATAAAATGATACAAAAATAGTCATGAGTTCGCATCCCGGTGGCAAGGCGTCTTTTAAATCCCCGCCCACACCCCCTGGCCCGGGAAAACCCCGTATAATCTTAACGGTAAGGAAGGGGAGGACCAAAAAAAAAAAAGAAACAATGGTCTTGAACAACTGAAAATTCACTCATTTCCAAAAAAAAGGTAAACAGAAACATCACCTAGACACACACAGAAGACTAATCACTTACAAATTAGTCCTCAGTTACAATAGTCAAATACAAATAGAGAGCCTCAGTTACTAACTCATAAACTACCAAGCTAGGACTTGTAATCACTAAACTCTAAACATTTAAAAAATGAGGGAAATTAAATTAGAAGTTGTTAATGATTGGGAGTGCTTTCATTGATGAAATAACAGGATCATTGTGTTATTTCATCAAAGACTGCATCCCCACCAACTTCTCCAAAATTTGTTCTATGATTAATAATATCTCCACCAAAAAAAATGTTCTTGAGGTTCCATTCACACTTAATCTTTGCTCTTTCCCAACATGTTAGTGAAACTGAGCTCTTATAAAAATATTTTTAATAACAAAGAAACTTGTCTAAAGAAACCAACAATTAAAAAAAACAGTAGATAGTACAAGATCATCGCAACTGTTTTTTGAGAACGAAATATTGATTAGAGATTCATGCAAAATTAGTATTTAATGAAAATGTGTCAATACTACGATCAGACTTCCTTCATTAAATTTGAAGATCAAAACATTAATCGTAATAATTAATCATAATTCAACTAAACAATATTAATCAGTGATTAAACAATAATGCTTCAGCCCGATATAGAGTAAGAATAATTTTGAAAAAACAGAGGCACAGTTTAAAAGATAAAAAATATATTTTATAAAAAAAAGAAAAAAGGAACACAATTAAACACCAATTTGGCATTAAACCAATAAAAAATAATATTTTATTTAGGCATCACACATATCCATAAGCAATCACCTTTTTATTAATTATAAAATCAAATTTTAATAATAAATTTATGGAATATTAGCCAGATAATCCTTCACTGTTGTAGGATCTAAAACTCTGAACCCTTGATCATCACAAACTCCGACCTCGATATTGTCCGAAGTCATTTGGCCTTCAAAGTTTTCTTTAAGAGTGAGAATTGCAGTATGTACTGCATCATCCAGCTCTAAAGTTTCACTGTACCTAGAAATAAAATATAAGTTATTAACCATAGCCCCTATGTTGCTATACTATGTATTCTTTGATGTAAAAACATTTATATATATATATATATATATATATATATTTTTTTTTTTACCTCTTTTCTAGAAATGTTTTGCCAGTGACAAAATTTTTTCCCATTGCAGTAGCTTTCCAGGCAAAGTATGCTCCAGATGGATCACATTGAAACAGAGATGGTTTATCCCCATCCCACCCGGCAATGAGTAAAGAAACTCCAAAAGGTCTAACACCTCTGAAAATAAAAAAAAATAATATAAATGTTAAATCTTTACTTTGAAGTGATCTTTTATCACTACCAGAATCTCTTTTGCTATTACTATTAGTGGAAAATTGCTTAATTCAAAACGCCAACATATCTCAGGAGTATATATATATATATATATATATATATATATATATATATATATATATATATATATATATTTTTTGAAAGCACCTCTTTCAAACTATTATTGCATTTGTATTATTCAATTAAACATCATTTTGGCTTTTCTGAAAATAACTGTTAAGAACCAATTAGGCGTCAAATAGGAGTCTCTTCTTACCATCATCAGAGGTAACTAATTAATTGTATAGTAATAGGGTCAAATATTTGGTCCAGTTATCAATAAGTCTTTATGTTTCAAAACCCCACTTGTAAGTCTGTGTCATGAATCATGAATCAATTAACAATTCCATAGCTCTTTTTGATGCTTTGTAAGAGGGATATCCTAAACCTTGTAGTGCAAAAGGCAATAAAATAAGGTGTTCTTCTAGAGGCTATAGTACCAAAATGGCTTCAATTATTTTGACCATAACTAGCCTAGAGTCTTATCCTCAAAATCCTTCAACTTTTCATATATGTTAGTAATGAGTCTACTGAAATCTTTTTATGGGACCTCGAGTTTTCCAGTTCATTTTTGGAAAAAAAAGGTACAAGTAATCCAGTTGTAATGAGACATGTATATACACAATCATAACTTAATTAATTTTTCTACTTCTAAAACAATATAATTAATTTACACGCTAAATTACAGCAAATTCGCTTTCATGTCAGATGGGCAAAAACAACTCTGAGTAATGTGAACTGAGTATTTTACTCAAATACTAACCTGCCCAGGTTAGCATACTTAACTACCTCAGTTGATTGACAAGAATAATAAAATTACTCAGTTCCCTTGAGTATTTTAAATAGTGATAAAGTACTTTATTGTTCAACAGAATAATTTATTATCTGTAATAGATATAAAATAATAGTTTCATGTACCATACGACCAGAGTTAAATATATATATTATGTTAATAGATATAAAGTTAAGGTTTATGTATCCATGTTCTAATTGTTTAAATGTTATTAATTATTCTAGGTATTATAGTTTTCCACTCACTTCTGAATCACATTAATTTAAACATTTCAAATTTCTTTGGAAAATCATATCAACATTAAGATTATTTAATTACGTTACAGATCCCATCAGCTGAATATTTAAAAATTTCTCTGGATTTATCTCCAAATTTGTACAAAGGTCCATTATTATATTTTCAAAAGCATGGTTCTTGAAAATAATATCCATTTTAAGATTCCAAAATCGCCAGTCACAATTTCTTTGATGAACAGTTCATTCTTATGTTTTCAGAGATTTAGATTTTGAAAATAACATCCAATTTAAGATTGTGTCATCATATATAAATTATTTTTAACTTTTCAAAGTTTTCGATATAAAAGATCATTAATAAGTTTTAGGAAATGTCATTTTCAAAAATACTGTAGGTTTTAAGATTGCTCTTTCAATTGTCGATTTATTTAAATATTTTGAATTTCTTTGATATAATAGACTATTATTATATTGATAAATCAAAATCTTCTTGCTCTGGCTAAAATAGGTTGGTTATCCGTAGGATAACCACATCCAGTATGCCAGAAATATATATTCTGTTCACTAATACTTTATTTTATATTTTATGTTCTTTCAAGTTTTATCAAAATAAATGTTCAAGGTAGTAAAATTTCATAATCAATAAGAACATGAGAGCTCATTAGTTAATGAATATAACATGTCTCAGATACCATAATAATAATAATGGAACCATATTAGAGAAGTTCTAAAAATAGACAAATCATGTAATCTTATAATAGATATTATTTTTAAAAAGATGTCTCCAGAAACATAAGAATGGACTCTTACACCGTAAAAGTCTGGGGATTTTTTTTTTTTTTTTTTGGTACTTTGATAGATTTATTTGAATAGTATTAATACAATCTGCCACAATCAAGGGCATTCGGAATTAAAAACTAAAATATAAGCTAAGAAGAAAATAAAACATAAGTAAAAATATATACATTGAAAGAAATAAAAAAATACTTGTTAAAAGGAAAAAAAAAATACACTAAATAGACTGGATATGTGATGATGTAAACTTAAAAGAATATTATTTTGAAACACTATGATTTCAAAAATATAATAATCGACTCTTATACCAAACAAATCTGAAAAATTAAAATAAAATGATACATGATTGTGCAATCTTTAAATGGATACTAAATTGAAAAAAATACATCTCCAAAAACAAAAGAATGGGTCTTAATACCAACAAAATCTGAAAATTTTAAATAAATGTATAAGTAAGCAGTTGTTGATATTATTTTCAAAAGAAATTCAAAATGTTTAAATATATGGGATACAGCAGTGAGTGAACAATTATAAAACCACTAATATATAACCATAAATTTTAAATTAAGCATGGATACATATAATTTATAACTACAATATAATACACCTTTAACTCTGGACATCTGATACATGAAACTATTACTTTATATCAAATATAGGTAATAAATTATAATTTTGTGGATTAAACTGCTGTATAAAATACTCAATGTGAAATAATTCTCTGTAAATTGAGAAAATAGAAGAAAGATATCGTAAGGAGAGCTGAGTTATTCAGGAATTCTCTGGCTTGCATCACCTAGCTAGTAAAATTCCCTCACTTGCTATTTTTCATGAAATTTCCTTACTTATTTCTAGGCATTCTAGAGCTAGTAGTCAAGTTTAAAATGTTTCAAACATAAACTATATAACGCTAAACTTATATTATATTCCACAACAATCAAAGATTATTTCAAATTTTAAAATACGAACCCAGATTGAGTGTACTCCTGCATAACCATGGCAACTCGTTGAACAAGCTGTGCAGTAGGAATAGGCTCACCGTAAACTAACTGATATTGTTGAGCCATTTTTCTAGCTCTCTTCACTAGTAGCCTATAATCAGGTCCCATTCCTAATACATAAAATTAAATAATTTTTAACAACATTATTACATATAAATATAATCAGTAGTATTTGATCCAAAATCAATAAATACACTTTAGGAATTTTTTTTTTTGTACTTTGATAATTTATTTGAATAGTAACAATACAATCTGCCACAATTAAGGGCATTCGGTATTATGGCTCTCTGCTTACATTCATTCTTATATACAAATTACAATACAAGCTGAGAAGAAAATAAAATAAGAATAAAACATAAGTAAAAATATATACATTAAAAGAAATAGAAAAATACTTGTAAAAAGGAAAAAAAAATAATGATAAAAGAGAAAAAATATTTGTCACACATCCATTCCTATTTACAATAACAGAAAAATTAACAACAAAACATAATAAAAAAATCATCAAGATAATTTTGATTGAAAAGTGAATTGGTAACATCTATTTGACACAGAAAATTTTAATTTTTGAAATAAGTGAATCATTTTTTGAAGTAAACTTTTTTGTATTTGTAATGGAAGCAGAAATATTAACTTTTGATAAAATACTCCTCAAAATTGTACTGAACATATTTATAGCTAGAACAGAATAATAATAATTCTATGCATACCACTGTAGACCATTCCAATGTGTTTAGTTATCATTTCTACTTTTTGAATAGTATGTTCTTCATATAAAATTGATTTGTATTTGTTTTCAGTAGCCAATACAACTCCATTGGATGCTGAAATTAACAAAAAGTAAAAGGTTAATTTTAATAAAGAAAGTTTTCGCCTTATTCATTATCTATTTTATCTATTTAAAATTCTGTAGTAATAGTAAATCTACATTAAATAATTTTAACAATATTATTATTAAATAATAACATAATAAGTAATAACAGACGAATTCGAGTTTTTCATTTACAAATTTTCAATTAGCAAGAGAATAAATATGATGAACTAAAGATATTAAATTATCATAATTAAAGATTATTAATTTTGACATATGTTTTCCAATTCATAATCATTACTTGGAATATTTTCATTAGTATCCACTTCTTCACCTCTTTTCCCACACAGTACAATAAAATAGTTTTCAAGGAATCTCAGAATAACAACTGAAGCATTATAAGTATTTTTATTTGTGAAGTATAAATATAATAATAAAAGTTTCCATTTAATTTGATAATTTCATTTAGTTTTCATGTAAATATTTATTTTTCATTCCTATTAATTTCTTGAAAGTATTATTCATAATTTTTTATTTGCAATTGTTTATTACTTTATACATTAAATATTAATTTTCCTAAAACCTTACACCTTGAACAGTATAAATTATGTTATTACTGCAAATTTGTTTTTGATCCGGTAAATTCGTTTCCCTATTTTCGTTAATTGCAAAGTTCTTTTATAGTTTACTAGCTTTACCCGGGCACGCGCTGCTTTGGCTTAGCCTGGCAAAATGAAAAAGAAAGAAAATAGAAAGCACATATGAGTAGATTAATAGCAAAGGACATCTGTCATTTTTAAAAAGTTGGGAAACAAATTTGTCTGTAAAATGGCTTCAATTTAAACTAATTCTAATGATTTTTTTTCTTATGATTCAAATTGAACATTCATAATCATCTGAGTGAAACGTCGTCATTCATAATCATCAGAAACAGTCTGAGTTGAACTTATAAAACTAAAATAAAAAATTAATATAAAGAACGTATAATAGTATTGACCTACATAAGCAGAATCATATAACTTCTTCAAATGATAATTTCAATTACTGTAGTAATTATAAAATTTTAGATTAATCAATAAAAAAAAAATAAAAAAAATGCTTGCCTACTTTCAGTAGTGAGGAAGCAAAAGGAAATGGCCTTTTCTGAAGAGAATAAACTAAAATACCATACATAAGTAAGATGTAGCAACAGCGGGAGGCTGTTGAAAAACTGGCCACATTATATAGTATATACATCTATTTCTTATATAACTAGTAACCATGAGAGACTGCTAATTATTTAAAATAAACCATATTAAAGATACTTTAGAGGGAGCCATTTTGAAAATTAGGAATTTAAGCCCTATCAGACTATATTAATGAAGATAAGACCTAAATGATATTAAAAAACCTTGCACCCTCCCTAAGTTTTAATTGGATCCTTTAATTATAGTTCATGAAGTTTAGTTCAGTAAGTATAAAATTTATAATGTATAAATAATAAACTGGTTCTTTTTGATTATGAACCATACATATGTTATGTAAGTAGTGATAATGATACAGAGGTTTCCATATAAATCCTTATTCTTCATTAATTCATAGAGACGAAAACATTACACTAATAGATAGTGTTGTGAGATATTGAGCATACAACCAGGAAAGTTGCTGTGCATCACAGTAAGAGAACGCTTAAACTTTATTGCTCAATGTGATCTTTGCTATAAATGTGAAGTAGTAGCAATAAAATTTTCAAATAGTTGTAAGAAAGAAAAACATAGAAGAAAAATTACTAAAAAGGCAAAGAAAAATGCTAACATACTTTGCGGATTATAAATAGGAAAGTCCAAATACGATTTATAATTGGGCTTCTAGAATCTATTGTTTGGACATATAAAATTTTTCAGAAACAATAAATGATTTTAAAAATTAATTATTTCATTAGAAGTCACAATGAAAATAAAATTATCAAGAAGTAATTAATTCATGTAAAAACAGCATACCTCTGATACCGATTGATGGAGCTCCAGCTGCGACTGCGGCAAGTGCATACTCAATTTGAACTAATTTTCCAGATGGACTAAAAAAATAAGAAAAAAGTAATAAACATGAAAGGAGTCCATTTACCATTAAAATATCACAGCATCAAATATTTAAATGTTAAATATATTTTCTTATCAGAATTTTTTTTTCAGTTGTTATTGAGTAATATTGCATGCTGATATAAATACAAATATTGGTAATAGTGAGATATGAGTCCATTCATACCATATTTACAGAAACTATAAATAAAATAATAGCAAACAATTAACCTAAAGTTAAATAAAATAGAATAAACATCTTATATTACAGATACATTATTATATACACTATTTACAACCTGCTAGGGGCATTGCATACCAGGTTTATACCCCCAACAGCACAGGAAAAAACCATAGGAGATCCCAGCAATATTTGTCTATCAATCATGTTACAAGAATTAAAAGCCAGTGGAAGCCGAGTGCTGAAGTCACATACATAGCTTAAGTGGGAAATTCAGCTATTGGCAGAATCCAAGTTACGTTAAGTTCCTTGAGTACTCAAAGAGCTGCTCACCCTCTTGGATATTACATGAGTTCTACAGAGAATTTACTTCTCTTTCAATTTGAAGAAAGTACTACTTTAACTTTGATTAAAGTTATATTAATGATAAAAAACATTTTTCAGAGTTGCTAGAAACAAACTGAGAAAAGGAGAAAATTGCACATTTTTTTTTTTTTTCATACATCTAAAAACGCTCAAAGCACTTTGATTGGCAAACTTTAAATTCAAAGAATTTAAGCACCTGAATTTTATTCACATCCGACTACTATTTGGTGGAGATAATTTGTGACTTTGACACTGTCAGCTTTCAGAGAGGAGACAGTTCTCGACTTGAGCCTTTGGTTCTTACCATCTCTCATTGATTGTGGATCCTCAATCATCCTCTGTTATCGGGCATCCTCCTCTGTTATCAGCAGTTGATGTTAAGCCGTAGCGATTGTAATGATCTCGGAGCCTGAGACCAATCGTGGTCTTAGGTCAAATTTGAATTTTTATATTTTCTGATCAAATTGGTATTATGGGGCATCGCCAGATCCCTGGCGGCGATATGGGTGGACGGCAAGAGTGCTTGCACTCCTTGGCCGTAACAGTCGTAGTGGTCCTGTGTTTGCGACTGCTCACTATACAACACGTTTTCAGCTGATCGTGACAAAGTTCTGGCCAGCCATCGAGTTATAGTGTGCTGACGAGGAGTGGAAAGCTGTATAATAGGATTCAGCCTCTCCGTGAGCATCAGTTGTGTGCTTACACCTCTGTGTCCTGTCCGAGGAGTGAGGCTAGGCTGAGGGTCGGTTGAGAGCGTCGGGTCAGGTGTGGGCACCGGCTCCAGTATAGGTGTATTCCCTCTGTCAGTTTTCAGAACATAACAGAGCATACCATCAGTTTTTTGGGTAAATAAACCATCAAATTTTTCCACTTCAATTTAAAATTTCATATACCCAATAATGTATTTTAATCAGCTGAACAGTGTTATCTGCGAGGATAAACAAGAATTCAAAATCATTTTTTTTTCTACTACTTCAAATTTTGCTCAACTTCGATGGGTGGACGCATCGATGTATTGAACACACTATAAATGGAATTACAACAATGACAAAGTATTAAAGAGTTAACAAGATTAACTCCCCCTTACTTCTATTTTATTCTTTTATTTCAGAATTTAGAAATTTTCTAGGTAGAAATAGGAACATAATAGGTTATATATCAGTAAATTATCATTCACTATTTCAAATAAATTATTTAAAATGGTCTTTATACGTTGAACCTTTGAAATAAAACTCAAAATGTTAAAGGAACCGATCTGTTATTTTCATTATGAGGGAAGACAAAACAAACAATGCGAAAAATGAACAGCAAAGACGCCAATGGCAAATGAAAAATAGAAACAAAAACAACTGTTGTTATTTTATTGATACAGTTACATTGAGATGATAATAGATATATAGAGGATGAAAAAAAAAAGATAGATGATATAAACATACAGGATGAGTATGGATGGTAGAATTGGAAGTTCTAGACTTAAGGGAGCGCCAAATAAAATTGAGCACATTTTAAGCAGAAACTGCCTTACGATTACCCTAATTAAGTAATAACAAGATATCTATCAATACAGTAAAACAATGTTGATCTTCAGTTCTTTTGAGTTAAAACTGTCTTAGTCTATAAGGTTCTGATGAAATTTGGAGAATTTGAATGGAATAAAGTCCAGAAAAAAGAAATATTGATTACATAGAATTAGACTATTCTTTGAAGCACTTTCGATGGGAAAGATTAGCTACATTAAACATTCAAAAATACAGCTGTCCACTCAGAACAAGAACATAGGTCCAGACTGGTTTCAAAATTTTCTAGATCAGTAATGTGATGTCAAAATGGTCTATTCAGACATCTGCATATTGGGTTATCCAGAAAATAATGCAGAATTTTGAGTTTCCTTTAAAATACCTCTCTATGTAACAAACTGTTTATGTTACTGGATTATTCATTTGTATGAATGTCGACACTTACTAATCCTCTTCCAAATGATGTTTGTTTACCTCTGTAACAATTTCGCTGCTAAGAAATAATTCAGTCTTTACTACGATGGAAACGCATGATTTTTGTATAATTTTGTTTTACCAGTTTAAAGTCAGCCGGAATAGAGCCTAGATGGCCAGAAACATCAATCAAGTCTGGTGCAAGAGCAGCATTAATTATAATTTTTTTTTACACCTAGATCACTACAAAGGGAATTAGAAAATAGATTATTGGAGTTTATCAACTCTAAACATGGGAAATTCTATTCCGAGGAAATGAAGGAGTTGCCAGAAATGTATTGATCGTAGTGGAGACTATTTTGATGAAATATAACAGTTGTAAATCTTTCTTTTTAAACCAAAATCCTGAATTATTTTCCGGACAACCCAATAATTGGCCATACTGTCAGTTAAAGTCTGCTCTTTTAAGCCTAATATGTGGTTCCATAATATGTCTCCTGTCTGAGAGAAAGCGAAGATACCACACTGTGTCTCAGAATGAGAACTGAATGGAGCTAAAATAAAGAGGCAGGCAAGATATCCTTCCAAGGGTGAAGGTGTAGATTATGATGTTCCATTACAGACTTAAAATGTTGAGAAAATGACATAATATATTTTGTATAAATGCATTTATGTATTATAAATACAGATTTCTTCAAACATGGGATTGGTCCAATTCACAGCAAAATCAAGTAATTCATTAAGAATCTTAAGTTATTCATATTATGAATCGAAGATATGCACATCAGCCACTTATCACGTTAATTAACTTGTGAAATCATACAAGTAAAGTTCCGTCCCAAAATCAACAAATACGCTGAATTATTAATATTAAACACTAAGGAATAGTTTAAACTTAAATTACCTGAAAGTAGTCAAAGAAAAGCTATATCTCTCAGAACCCATGATTACAAAGCAAAACTGTTATAACCAGGTGAGAGTCACTGTAACCTTTACGCTGGATTCAGCAATGTTACCCCTTTATGACAATGAAGTATAAACCAGTTTTAGATAATACATCAACATATATTTTATATGAATATACATATTTAATACAAATTAGAATAACTGCTAACATTTATTGGAAAAAGTTTTTATCAAATATAAAAATATTCTTTCTTAGTCATTAAATGATTCATTGCAAAACCACGTTTAGAACAATTTACGGCGTGATGGTAAAATTAAACTAAAAATATAGCCGAAATGGGATTTTTTCAAAATTGATTAATTAAATAAAATGTTCATTCTAAAAATAGTTAAAACTTTGAGCTATATTGGCATAAAGCTGTAATTTGTATAGCTGCAGCTGATTCACAATAATATCAACATTCGAAAGTTGATGATCATCATATCAGTTTCAGGTATTTTTGGTGCATACAATTCTGTACTGGACAGTATGCAATTTTTGAATTTTTTTTTCTTATGTTTTCAACAACGGCATCTTTAAAATAAGGTATGTACTTCATTTGTATGCATTTCCAACATTATTAAGACTAATCCATGAATAGATAAGCCTAGCCTTTGAAAGTATGCTATATTTATTTTATTTTTTTCAAAATGTCAAAATTACCTTAATGATTAAGTTGTATTTCCAAAAGCTTTCAAACTATAATTTTTACATCATCTCGAAGATTAGGATTTCTACTTAAAACACAAAACGAATCATTTACCTCTGCGGGGCTTATTTACTGTTTTATCCAAGATATATATTTTGCCACCTGCTACTTTTAACAAACAAAAAAAAAAGAAAAAAAAAGGAGGCCATAAACCAGAAATTTCAATAAAAAATGTTTCTGATACAAGAGAGCTGTACTTATGATGAAACAAACAAGTGCAAACAACGATTTTCACTATTTACAGTGTAATTTAAAGTAAACTGGTCAGCTACACAAAGAAAGGGTGATAGATTTAGAAAACATGTGATAAATGGCTGGAAGAAACTGTTCAGTTACCGAAAGGCACAACAGATTATCTAAATCAGGAGTTGGTTGGACAACTAATATCTTTTGAATACTCTAGTGACCGAAGTAAAGAAGGAACATGGAACAACTGCGGAAATCAGCTGAAACTCTTTTCAGCTGAAGATCTTATATTTGCCACTTACAAGAAACTCTAGCAAAGCGGAAGCTTCAAACATTGTAAACGATTTTTTTTTCGTTTTTCCGAAAAGAGTAACAAGGTATAGGATACCTTACGTAGAAAGTTTAAATCTTTTTCTATGTTTGTCGAAGAAAATTTATCAAGAAAACAACGGGAACACTAGCAGAAATATTTGTACGGACCCTGAGATTGCCCCAAAATACCTATTATTTAAGAAACTAACTTATATTTATTTATTTATGAAGAACATAACCTATCCTTTAATTAAAATAAAAATAACAGTATTTACACTTTTCAAATGTCATTAAGAGAGTAATGCATTTTTATGAGTTTTTTTTTTCTTCGCCTGTTGACTTCGACTTTTTAAGTCATGAGTCTTCTTGCAGCTTGGGACTGTTATGGGCGACTGTTCATTTTTATAATGCATTTTTATGAGTTTTTTTTTCCTTCGCCTGTTGACTTCGACTTTTTAAGTCATGAGTCTTCTTGCAGTTTGGGACTGTTATGTGCGACAGTAGTGATCGTTTGTTTTCTCATCTTCGAGATATCCATGGGAAACGTGGTTTACTAACTGGACGCAATCACATTTCACTCCCTCTTCATCAGAAACCTTCCTGATAGATCGTTGGCAATCTTCCACCCAGTATTTTTTATGATATTGGAGATTATCAGCCCTATATCCAAATAAAGGTTCAGTCTGTAGTATCTTCAAGCAGCCTTTCTTCTCCTCATTAGTTCTCTTATTTCTGCATTAATCCAAGGAGCTGGAGGACGTCTAAAGATAGGTGTTTTAAGAGATGCGTGAAGGTTACTCCTAGGTTTTTTGACTGAAGGACAAAAAATGGACAGGGCCGTTATTGAGGTAAAATAGAGGAAAGCAGGGAAGGGAACTAATGAGATGTCTGGACCCAATGAGAATAACGGGAATTAGGTTCTTAAGGATTGTCCATTTGGATTTTGGATTAGGTTCTTGGGATAAAATGTTATTAAGGTATTGGGCTTTGGCGCGACGTAGGGACATTTGCGTGAGGTTTCGTAGGGATTTAAATGTGGTATAATGCTGTGGAACTTGAGTACGTCTGTAGTATATTCTGGCAACCTTTCTTCTCCTCATTAGTTCTCATATTTCTGTATTAATCCAAGGAGCGAGAGGATGTCTAAAGGCACTTGTTTTTAGAAGTGCGTAATGATTGAGGAAACTAAGGAGGTTGGAGGAAAGGTGTGGGAGTGGAGATGTACGATTGCTAAGTGTTGTGTATCTGACTTTTTAGACAGGACTTAACTCAACATGGACATACATTTGTTCATATTAATGAGTTACATAGTCCACCATTACACAAATCTTAAGCTGGCTAGGGCGTGCTACTTATCTAATATTATTATTGAGAAATAATGAATTCATCTTTCTCCATTCTTCATATTATCCTACTTTAATCCTATCTATGAAACACATTATCTTTAGAGCTTTGTAATAACGAAAAATAATAAAGTTAATTTGATTACAAAAATCTTGGAATTTATACGTAAAGTTATAATTACTCTAAGTTTCGAAGGAATGAAAATAGATAGAATAGAAAATTAAAGTATATTTGAGAGAAAATTTTATGTTCAACAACTTTCTTTTCTATACATTTTTTCTCGTAAAATGAAAATATAAAGAGTTAGCAGGACAATTAAAGATACGATAAGCTGTTTTTGTTTTTTTATAATTAGTGAATTATGAGGACAGCCAACTATTCAACATAGCGAAGAAATGAAAAAAAAAAATCCATTCTGTTGAAAATTTTGCTAGCATTAATTTTTCAGAGAGTATAATTATGCGAAAACCAAAAAGAAAAACCGAAAAAGTGAGATTAAATTCATATTTTATACTTTAAATTCCTGTTTAGTAGTTTGCTTTAGACACGGCGCTCCCGTACAATTACGTTATCAGTGCCAAATTCCGTTCTCTGTAAAAATTGAACGAAGATTTAGAACTACGGCCCACAAAAGTTTCCTTGATTACATGTTAAAATTTTAAAAGCTAGTTGAAAGTATATAAAATTGTAAATAGCAATGAATGTGTGACAAGTAATTTTTTTCTCTTTTCTGTTATTTTATTTATTTTAATTTTTAATTATTACAGTGTATTTTTTTTTCCTTTTTACAAGTATTTTTCTATTTCTTTCAATGTATATACTTTTACTTATGTGTTTTATTGTTATTTTATTTTCTTCTTAGCTTGTATTTTAATTTGTATATAAGAATGAATGTAAGGCGCAGAGCCATAATACCAAATGCCCTTGATTGTGACCACAGGCGGATCTACGGGGGGGGGGAGGGCTTTCAGGCTGAAGCCCCCCAAAATGGTAAAATATAACCATGTTTTACAGAAAAAAATATTAAAACTATCTCTTAAAGTATTCTTGTTCGTGTACTTATATTTAATAAGACTTCAAGAACCACTTAAACACCATTTCATGTAGGTAGTTGATTATTTTCTTTTTTTTTCTAATTAATTATGTTATATGTATATGAAAAAAAATCTTTCGGGCTAAAACTCCCCAAAATAAAATCCTGGATCCGCTAGTGATTGTGACAGATTGTATTAATAATATTCAAACAAATCTATCCATCCATCAAAAAAAAAAAGCTAAACATATATAAAATAGCTAATTACTCACTCACTATGTTACTACAACATATATTACGTGGGTTTTTCTAGATTATACATAGGACAAGATATATTTTTTTCATCACAAGCCATGGCCGGCGAGACTTAATGGAGGTCTCAATGCAGCCCGCGGAACTAAGTCGAGGAGACAATGTAAACCAGTAACAGAGCCAGTAATTAGCTCAATAAATTGCATTCAATTGAATGGAGTGGGCTGGCTAACGTGTGTGCACAGCACCGCCGTTGCCCGACAACCTGATCTATGAGACAATGAATTTAAAATAGCCACGAGTCCCGGTGTCGGAGGAGTCTTTTAAATTCTTTTAGTCTTTTAAAAGTTCCAAAACACCTATTTAAAGAAAAGAGAAAATTAGAGGAGATTCGTCCACTTAGGTGAATTTCCTCATGTAATAGAAAACGAAATATTATCGTGACCAGCACTAGGGAATTTTGCCAGGGGCGCGCCCTCCCTTGGATTGTGGAAAAAGTTCCAAAAAAAAAAAAAAATAGTCTTAAAATAAAATAATAAAATAGTCAAAAATAGATTTAAAATAGTCACACGTTTGCGTCCCGGTGTTTCTAGAAGTCTTAAATTCTTTTAGTCTTTTAAAAGTTCCAAAAACACCTATTTAAAGAAAAGAGAAATATAGGGAAAATTCATCTTCATAGGCGAATTTCCTACTGTAATATAAAAAAAAAGTTATTATAGTGACCAGCTCTAGCGAATTCTGCCAGGGAAGCGAATTCTCCCTCCCTTAGATGAAGAAAACAAATTCCGAAAAAGTTCCTAAAATGCAGCTATTTAAAGAAAAGAAAAATATAGAGAAAGTGAGTGCATCCTCATAAGCGAATTTCCTAATGTAATAGAAAAAATATATATTATCGTGGCCGGCACTTGCGAATTCTGCCAGAGGTCCGCCCTCCGTTGAATGGTGGAAAAAAATTCCTTAAAAACTTCAAAAAACACCTATTTTAAGAAAAGAGCAATATAGGGAAAATTCATTCTCATAAGCGACACTTCCGGTCAGTCGGTTTTGACGAAAATGTTACTATAACATCCCTAACATATAAAAACATTAAAAATGCAATTTCACTTTCATACGACTTTTCGTTTTTGAGATAAAGTGTTAATTCACACACACACAGACCATTTTGCGGGAATTGGTTATTTGGACTCAGGGAACCTCAAAACGTATATTTCCGTTGAAAACTGAGATTTTAAAATTTTCACGATCGTAATACTTTCCTTTACTATATATTTCAAATATAGGTAAGTGACAGTAAAAACTGTAAGTAATTTAATTTAAAAATCAATCAGGGATAATATTAAGCATTTTAAACGTCGTCGAGCGTTGAAAGATGGGAAATAAATTTTGATAACATTACCAAAAGATTTGAGCTTTTATGATAATGCCATTTAAAAAAAACGAAGGCTTTTTAAGCCAATGCAAATAGTTATTTTTTATTACATCATGTTCGGGTAAATTCGGCTATCTCCGCTGCGGCGAAGTGATATCAAGGCTTGTCAGAATAGTGATAAATCAATACGTCTGACTTCTGCAGAAATGGGTTGAAAGTCTTAGTTCTTTGATATTTATGATTGATGGGTGAAATGTTTCTTATATAAGGTATCATATTTTTGAATGCATTGATACAGCGAATTTCATGACAGTAAGTAGGGTATTTAATTTAGTTACTTTTAGGGAACAATAAAGTTCTATTTATAGAAACATGGAGAACCATTCCAATCTTTTGGGCTTGAGACTTGGCTTGAATTCTCGGCCTTCGAAAATGCCTCTTAAAAAACAAGGGTAACTTTGCTTTACATTAATTTTTTTTTTTGTATGCTCTGATAGTTGAATGTATTAATCTTGTTTTGCATGCTCAGATAGTTGAATGTATTAATCTTGTTTTTAATTATTCCAGAATTCATCGAGATTGTCCCTTTTCTGACACAAGTGCATCTGGCCCTAAAATTTATGCATTCTGGGCATTGGTTGTTGTACTTTGTATATTAGCTTGGGGAAACATGATATTAACAATTGTCATATTTCGTGTTTTACATCTTGGTCAAGGAATGGAAAGCATGGAATTTATCCCAGATCATGGTATAATAAAATTTTATGGTGAAGCAATTTTTGAAAAACTTTACAAACCAGATGGCCAAATAAAAGGTTTTGACAATTCACCTTTTGAGATAACTGGAAGAAAGGGTGCTGTTATCTTTGAAGTTGAAGACAATAAAGGAAAAATCAAGAATACATTTAAAATAGAACAAAATGGAACACATGTGAGAGGAGTGAAATCTTTTAATGTTGGAGAATCTTTTTCTACTAATTCTCCCAATATAGCTGGTGCATCAAAAAATCTTGAAGCAAAATTGGTGAGTACAGGGCATATTACAAGTTCGTTGGATGAAAAATTGGTACTAAGATCAGATATGTACACCAGACTAAGCGGAAGTGAAGGTACTAACATAGAAGGTAAAGAAATATTTTGGACTGCTGATCAACAAGTTTATTTGAAAAGCATTAACGGAAGTATTATGTTAAGTGGAAAGGAAGGAGTCAGTATTGATGTTACTAAAATTCCTATTGTCAGGAGTCGATCAACCTTCTTAACTACCCAGTATAAGGTTTGTGTTTGTATGCCTCAGGGTAAGTTATTTCGGGTCCCTGTTTCAAAAGACTTTAGTTCACATGCTGCCTGTTACAATATTGATGTTTCACCTCAATTTGATCCCTGCATGTAATGTTTTTGGCATAGGTCTTTTTTTTTTTTAATTTTTAAACTTATTTTATTTGTTTTAATTTAATCCAAGTAAAACTAAAATGGACTTTTTTAAAACCCTGAAACATGAATAATTGGTTATTTATTTACCATATGCTGGTCAGCTGTAGTCTACCCATCGTCTGTAGGGAATTTTTATTTATTTTAAAGTTTTCATTGTATTTATAAAAATACTAAATAAATGAAAATTTGCATGTATAATTATTGAAATGCGCAAGAACTTCAGGTTTTTATTTGATATCAAAGAAAGCCAAATATTATTGAAAGGATTAATAAAGTTTAGTGAAACAAATATCTGATTAATTTAAACTTAAAAGTTAATTATCTTGAATCATTGTAAAAAAAATTACGTTTTATTCCTTATTTTACTTTTATTACATTTTTTATCGATACATTTACCTAAAGGTAGTATCCGTAATATTATGAGACTTCAAAGTGGCTTGTGAAGTCCTTTGGGGACCTGGTTTAGAGCATGTCTCTAGTTTGGAAGAAAACCTGCACGGCTTATAAATTGAATTGAATTGAAACGTAGTCATAATAATTTTATGGCAGTTTATGATTATGCAAAAGTGAAAAATTGTCAATTTTAAGTTGTGCCATATTTCTTCCAAGACTGTATGAATACGAGTAATAAAAGACATGACATTTGACCTAACAGTTTATTCAACTCTTACATTTCTCATTTTAAAGGAATTTATTTTGTAAATGGTATCTTTCTGTAATTTTTGCTTTTTACAAGATTTTTTTGTTTTTTTTATTAAAGATGAATCTAAGTTGGGATTGTAGTTATTAAGAATTTCACTGCCATTAGTTAAGGAAATTAATTAAGTTTTTATAGTAAAAATTATTGCTGGTAGTCAAGATAAAGTTATTAAATTACTAAGTAAGATAAAATTTATTTTTAAAATAAAGCATAATGGAAGATTTTGTAGAATCAAATACACAAAAAAATGTTAGTAACCGGTTTCAATTGATTAGAAATAATTATTAACAATACATGTTCTATCTGTCTCATTCTTTCTTCAGTAAATTCTTATTTATTTTATGCTCTTGAAGATCTGTAACTGTTAAATATGTGCACCTGCATTTTGTCATTCCTTGAATGTACAGTTGCGGAAGATAGTTAACTGGAGGAATGTATTTATCCAATTGAGTTAACTATATGAATATTTCAAGTCCAAGCTCAATAATTCCCACCTCTTTATATATCATTATATTCACTTAAAAAGTATTCAAAATTATGAAGATAATAACATATTATGTTGTTTATGATAATTTTCATTTGAGCTGAACATTATTAGATTGTTAATAAATGTTGATATGGATAGATTAAACAGAAAACGGGTTAAATGGCAACTGATGACCCTGGATACCAAAGGTGTTCCAAGTTAACATATCTAAACATTAGATTTTACGAATGACAGAAAAGCCCCAAAATATCCTCCATAAAATAATTAAACAAAGTTTTAAATCTATGGCCTCTTTAAGTTGAAACCTGTTTTCTTAAAGTGTCCAGAAATGGGTACCACTTCGCATCACTTCTCATCTTGAACTGCCCCTGAATATTGAAAAGCCTTTTCCTAACTTCCAGCAGTAATTTATACTTTTTTATATTTATAAGATTAGTTTTAAGATTTACTATTTTAGAGCTTAGCTTTTAAGTGAAATCCATTGACTTGCATAAATATACATTATCTTATAATTGGAATGTGGAGATTGCTTTGTTAAAGAAGACTTATTTGTTTACACATTTTTTAATTATTTGTTATAGAATTATTTTTCTTTATGTTTGAATTATAAACATAATAAATTTACAGAACATAAATTATGTTCATATTTACTAACACATTTCTGTCTCATCAGAATTTTCTTGATATTGTTTTATTTATCACTCCAATTGTGAGAAAAAAAATTGGCTTATACCTAAGAGAAACATTAAAAGAATATGTTAGTTAATATCTCAAAATATTTATTTCTCTTTAATATGAATTCTATGTATGAATGAATTGAGTGATGAATGTGGTTTGTTCATTGTGTGTTTTCTACTTTCCTCAAAATACTGTAAGATATAATGTAAGTAAAATTAAAGTAATTAGAGGTAAGATTACTTTTATTTTTTACTATTGTGGTTGCTTCAAATCACTTGGGCATTAGCCGGGAAATATAATTTGTTTAATAGGTCAGTTGTATTAATAAACTGATGAAATAGATTAATATAGTTAGGAAAGGTATTTAAGTACCATTAACATACATATCGTTTATTTTAAATGAAAGTTATTTAATCTTTTAGTTGTTTTAAATGTAAAGATGAAGATCTTGTTTACCATAGATATAATCTGTGAGATGGTTAGGTTGCAGTCAAAACAGAAAACATACAGTAAGATAATAAATGAGTTTTATGGGTGGTGACATTTTGGCCTACCAGGACTAAAGAAAACAGGATATAACTTTTAATAAAGTAAAAGATTTAATTTTTTTCTTTTACCAGCCATCTTATTCCTGCTTAATTTAATATATTTAAATCACTAAATCCTGCTTTCCTCTACTATGTGTACATATCTTTTAGAATAGAATTTTTATTGAAACTTTTAAATATGTTGATAGTTTAGTTAAAATGTTCAAGCACTTGCGATGGCAAGTGCTAGGTGGGTACGCCATACTATTTATTAATCCATGCTGCAGGAATCTTTATAGCGATCCTGCTTAGCATGGTTTTAAAGTAAACCTTAGTTATAAGTTAAATATAGTTTGGACTTATTCCAAAGGTCATCAAAGTGGGGCAAACACAAAGTAGTGAAGTTCTGAATCTCCTGCCAATCGTGTAGGAATTTGGAACAGTAGTATATGTTGTGTGTTTAGTTAAGATTGCTGCTTTTAAGGATAATGTGGAGTTATTGCATTGTCTGTTAACAGTAATGGAATCAGTTTATATTGTTTAATGATTTTATAGTCTTTCTTTGATTTGACTGCATTAGATTAATGAAAAAAGAAAATATTTTTATCTGATCCATCGAGTTTGATTTATTTGTCATAGTTATTTTTTTTAAGCTTTCTCAAATTTTAATAAAAATTTGTTGTTTTTTTCCTAACTCTACTTCTCACATGATGTTAGGTTAATGAGTATTTCTAAAAAATGTAAATGAATTGAAAAGTGCTGGAAATGTCACGAATAACTCCACTTTATTTTGTCTTAGTTTTTCTGCTATAAATAGTTATTTAGTATTAGTGTTGCATTATACTTTGAGGGTAAAAAAGAGGCTGTCTAAGTTTTTGTTTGTAATGTGTGATCTATTATGTGATAAAACATAGGTATTAAAGTTTAAGAAAATAATTAAGGTTTGTTAATTATGATGTATGTGACCAATTTGTTTGCTCCTCTACATGACAAATTTACATAGGCGCTCGGTCATTAGGTTTTAATGATATGGTAGGTTAGTTATATTTTAAAGCGGAACGGGGTATGAAATAGTAGTGTTCTATAATTTCCTCAATTATGCAGGAATGGGAAAACTTTAATATTATGTTAATTACTTTTGTAAATAATTCTATAGTTGAAACTTATCTTATCAATGTTATATTATAATCAATGTTACTGTGTAATGTTTTTACACAAGCGATTTATACAAACGTATAAGCTTCAATGATGAGTACCAACATGTTTGCTCCTCCCAGCGACTAATATTAGGTATAAATAGGTCTAAGATGTAAAATTAAGTTAGTTTTTTAACTAAGGAGTCACAGAATTGGGGCAAACAAGAGTAGTGAAGTCTTGAATATCCTACAAAGCCTGTAGGAATTCGGGACAATAGTAAATGTTGTGTATTTATTTAATTTTTGTTTTGTTCTGTTTTGTAGAAATCGTGTGTAAGTAGTTAATAGGTTGCATTTCTTGTTTAATGTTAGTACATTCTGTAATTTTTTTATTTTTGTTATAACATAAGTATTAGAATTTAAGAAATAGTAATTAAGATTACTTCTAGGATAATAACGAAGAAAGATGAAAGATTATGAGATGTATTACTCCCACGTTTGCCCCTTCGGTTATCAATATTTTTACTTAGACAATTATTGCTTGCTTAAGGGTTATTTACTTATAATTATTACAAGTAATTGTAGTAAAACTCATCATTGCAATGAGGGGTACCAGAACCATTGCTCTCGAAATAAACAATGTTTGTAAATAAGATTTTTTTTTTAATGTTTAAGCATCCTATCTTTAAAATCTAAAATTATCTTTGCATTTTTTTTTTTGTTTCATAAATGTAATCAATTATAAAAATATGTAGTATTAGTTACAATGTTTGTTAAATTGTAGCTTCCTACTAATCTGCTTTGCACATTTCTTTAATATATCATTAATAGTATAGTTCGATATTAGATAAATTAATTTACCTAATGCATTTTTAATTAGTTAAGTGTAATAAAACGTAGTATTCAAAAATTACACTATTCAATTCTCGCTGGTTGAAACATCATTAATCTAAAATATCCTTTACTATATTTTATGTTGTTACTTCTCTGATTAATTAATCTATTATAGTAGACTCTCAATAACTCTAGTAAATGATATAACTATTTAGTTTGAATTTTAAAAAGTCTAAGTAGTGGAAATGGAGGTAGGTTTTCTTTAATTTAGATGGTTTTATGTCAAAATAAAGATCTAACAATTGAGGCAATATTTCTCAATCAGTTTGGCACATACCAAATTCTTTGATTTTTAATATTTCCTGGACTTGAAAACGTAAAATTTAAGTATTTTACCAGAATTAGTGTTATCTCAAAACAACAAAAATTACATTGAGAGTTGATTATATTAATTAAAAATTTACTATGATGTACAATTTGTTTAAATTGCATAAAAATTATTGTTATAAATATTAGGGTATTTGTTGTAGTCAAATATTTGTGTATAAACTATAATATATCGAATGATCGACAAGATTTTGTGTATTAAAATCAATACTAAATATAAGTTTGTTTTACTATGTTTAAATTTATAATATTAATGTTTTTTAATATTTTCTATAATGTGTTATTTTTTGGGTTTATAAATATTATGTTAAAAAAAATGATAACCAAGACATTGCTGTCATCTGTAATTGAAAATATCTTTGTTTACCTGTGAAGTTATGTTATAAATTTTATTTTTGTTGTGATATAATTTTATTTTTATAGTCTTGTGGAAATGTTAAAGAAATGAATAATAAATGTTTATTATAAGAACAATCTTTTTCTGGAATGACTACTCTTGGTTTTCAGTCCAAGGAAATGATACTCAGATCTATATCCACATTTCCTGCTTTAGTCCTAAATGATCATTGTGTCAATTTTAGCTCCTCCTTTAATTACTTCGGTTTCAATATTGACCAAAACTTATCCTGGAAACCTGTGTTTTCTATCTTCCAAAACCTATTCACAAGTTCCTGTATTGTCACTTATTTCCCCCACTTTGACAATAACAAGTTAATCATGAACTGTTATGAAGATTTATCTATGGTGCCCTGTAGGAGTGTCATGATTACCCACTCCTGTGATGAGTTAAAATGACACTCTTGAAACATGTCTCCTTGAATCTTTCCACTACTTACTAGCGACTCCCAGCAACCTTTGTACATTTTCCATGTCCTGCAATTCTAATCCTTTGGCCATCCACTGAAACAAGATCCTCTACTTTTTGTATATCTTTCCCATCTAACTTATACAATGATTATATGTAGTGATGGCCGAGCATGTTGTGTTCCAGAGTGCCCAATTCTGTTGTGGGTTTGATTTCCACCTGGTTCAGTTATTTGTTTCTCGATATCCTATTGAAATGAATCTTTACACATTCACTTGGTTAAGTACATGGCAACCTCAATATTGCCATCAGGGGTTGACAAAAAGACCCACTTGCCAGACTAGTAACTTCCACTTATAGCAGTACAACTACAAGTAACCTACCATTTCTCTCTCCTTTTCCATTATCTTCATACAGCCCTAACAGGTTTTCTCTATCATGAAATTTCAATTGAAAAAATAGAATATTAATGGAAAGTGCATAATAGTTTTAATTTTAAGGATCAATTCAATTTTTACTTCTGTTTCCACTTTCTTTTGATTTATTTATTTGAATTCATTTCAGTGATATTTATTCTTGAGTGATTTTCTGTAGGCTATGAAAACCTCAATACTTTATTTTGGTATATTTTACATAGTGAAAAATAATGTGTTTAAAAACTGTAGTGAAATAGATTTAGTTAAAAAGTGATACTGATTTAGTTCCTATAGCTTTTACTAACTATTACAATACTTATTTATGGATTTATTCACTTATTACCAATTATGGATATCTATACACAATTAAATATCTGTATATAGAGCTCCAAGAGTGTAGTGACGTGGTTTAAATAGATTGATGGAGTTGCGAGTTTTCATTGTCTATTATCAATCTGATTTTTATTTCTCAATTATGTATGAGGCAATATTTAGCTCTTAAAACATGGCTGTTAGTTTATGGTTGAAACCATGGAATAGAACTTTTAGTAAAATTAGCAGAGGATTGGTTAGAAGAATCATAACTTCCTTTTAGAATCATTTATATTTGATTCAAAATGTTTACAACTTTTATTGAAGACAATGTTGAACAAATTGATTTTAGAAGGAATTGATAGTTTTTAAAACAAAATTTTTGAAATACTGCAATCATAAACTGAATTAGTCTGTACAATGGTAAGTTTATCTCTTTAATATCTTATAGTAATACATCATAAAATAGTTATTCAAGCATTGACTTTGATTAATGAGTCAATCAATTTGTAATTTTATGGGTCCATTTATAAATTAAATTAATATTTTATTTGCTTGCAAGGACAAAGATTATTAAATACATAATTAGTAAAATGTCAAAAAAATATAAAAAAGAAAAATTTAGCACTACACAAGCTTTACACATTACATATATTTGATAAATAGCACATGTACAATATGCTTTTGTTTTAGAACATTTATAAAATGTCTTAAAACAAACTAATAACAGTGATAATTAAAAATAAAAAATTATATTAAGGATCTGCTGTTTCCATTTCTTCAGCAGCTTCCGATTCCATATCTTCTGCTTCACCTGGTTTAGTTTCGGGTGGTTTTTCATATGCTTTGTCAAGAGGAGAAATTACAATTCCATTCCACTGAGTAGTTTCAGCAATTAAAGCTACAAAAGAATATGTAAAATTTTGTAAATATTATTAGTTTTCTAAAATTATTATTTATAATTTTTTTGCCACTCTCCGTTACCTTCTACAACTTTCTATATTATACATTGTTTTTTTTCTAAAACTCTTTGCTTTCCAATGATATATGTATACCTTCTGACTAGTATTTCTGGAGAATCATTTTCGACCTGGATAAGCATTATTTTTTTTCTCCTTTATTCAATTATCAAATTCTTTCAAAAGTTATATTTAGCATTTTATCCCAACTCTTAATAATGAGAGATAGTTAATTATTTAAAATAAACCATGCTAAAGGTACTTTAGAGGAAGACACATATGAACATTGGGTATTTAAGCCCTGTAAAGTGACATCAACGGGGATAAGACCTAAATGATATTAAAGGCCGTTTAATTATACAATGATACACCATATTTAATCAAAATCCTTAGAGCCGTTTTTGAAAAAATAGTAAAAATGTGTTTCAGCTTTGATATAAAGTGGCACTTCCGATTTTAAGGAAAAAGTTGCTATCACATCTATATACCTATCTTAAATACGTAATATCAGTTTCGTTTTTGAGCCAGACTGCTAACATATGAACACACAGACCATTTCTGGGTAATTATCCAGTGGCATCACAAAAATAATATTCTCTTAATAACATATCAATGTACTTACAAGAATCACCATCAAGTATCGGCTTGTAGCCAGCAACTGCAAGAACTCTGATTAAAGTTTGGGCAGTCAAGCAAACAACATCTTGTTGTTCAAGAGTCATTGATGTGTGAATTCTAACATTGTTAGTTTCAAAGGGATCAGCAATACCTATTAAGTTGTACGAAACAATTAATAGAAAAATTCAATAAATATAAATACATTATCTTAACTTGTGCTATGTATTACTAGATGATCCAGGTAAAAATAGCCCAGAAGCAAGAAGCTGAAGTACTCTTCTAAAAGCAATATTAACAGGAAGTGCTTGTCGACTTGGATTATTCATTATAGAACTGTGAGCCTTAAACAAAAAAAAAGAAAATGAAATGATTGATCATTCATCATAAATAAGAAAAAAAATCTAAGCACATAAAAACAATACCCATCCCAAAATAAACTTAGGTTAAAAAATATTCAAGATCAAATAAACCACCAGAATATTTAAATTATTTGGGATTAAATTCTGGTTTATCTGACCTAGAATATTTTGCAACCAAAATCTACCTAGTTCTGCCATAAATACTGTTACAAAACTTGAACTTTGTTTACATACAAGTGTTTTGTTCACAGTTTTAAGTGTTTTGTACATAGTTTTATCCATTTTGTACATAGCTTACTCACTGCAGGTTTTTTTTTTTTTACTTTTATTTCAAGTATTGTTTCAAATTTTCAGTCCAGAAGTAGTCTTTTCTTTGTGTACAATTTTGTTATTCTAAAGGGACTTTGTCCCAGGGTAAAGTTGTTTTTCTTTCAATCTATCTAAAAGTAGGTATTATTTATGATTAGAGATTGACTGATACCGATATTAATATTAGCAAATTAGTCTTTTTACCGATTATCAGTATTGGTCGATATATCGGCTTCTTTTTTATTTTAGCTTCACAATTTTTTTTTTTTTTTTCTTGCTCCTCCTGTCTTCTGAATTTGAGCAGATACCGATATTCTAAAGATCAATATATCGAGATTTATAAAGTTTAACTTGGAATATTCTTTTTATTGCTAAAGCAGACCCTACACGGTAATTCATGAATGAACGTCACAAGAAGTTCCAAGATTGCCCGCGACCGCTTTGATCATGAAGACCCCTACACGTTCAATCATTACTGATCATTATTTATCGTTGCTGATACCAATTTAGCTCAGTTGTAAACAAAGAAACAGCATAGATATGCTTATTTGGAAATTGTCATTTATAATATTGGGCATCAAGAGAAAAACGGAGATATAATAATTACTTCTTAGTGCCTGAAAATCGTTTAGACCAAAGTTAGAAAAATATAAGTCAACTACATACAAAAATCTAGGAAAAGTATTGCGAAAATAATCAATTTGTTAAGAAAAATGGAAAATAAACACAACAGTTAAAGATTTTTTTTCTATAAGTTAATTGTGAAGTTTCCACTTTTTTTTCTCTTCAATTTATTGACTACTTGACTATTTAAAGAAAAAATAGTTGAAAATGGTTAATAATAATATAGACTAGGGATATAAACAACTATTTACTTAATAACGAGACCTAGGTAAACTAACCTATCTAGTAGTAGTCTCATAGAAAATCGTTTTGACAAACGTTAGTAAAATATAAGTCTACTACTTGCAAAAATTAAGGAAAGGTATTGCGAAAATAATAAATTTGTTGAGGAATATGGGAAAAGAACTGATAAATATACACAACGTTAAAGTTTTTTTTTTCTTAAAGTAAATTGTGAAGTTTCCTCATTTTTTTTTTTAATTTGTTGCTCACTTTACTATTTAAAAGAAATAGTTAAAGATGGTTTAAAATTATAAACAAGGGATATAAAAAATTATTTAACTATTTACATATAATGAAAATCAGAAATTTATAATGGTTGTGAGGCCTAGGTAACCTAACCTATCCAGCAGTATGGTTCGTCTCCCCACTACTTTTACCTCAGTCCCCCCTCCACTTCTGAACCTTTGATTTCCGGATGTTCGGAAATCCGCAGTGCACCACCATCAGTACTTTATTCACTACCTTACACGACAATTCGGAACGTCATTAGTGCAATTCCGATTGACCGTGTAGGGTCCCCTTATTAGGTGTGTTCATCAATCATCGAGGGATGAACATAAGCATAAATTAGAGCCAAGACCGAAATATTGGCCTTACAATCTTATTTTATTTAAGGACCATCTTGTTTAACCATATTTATTTTTTTTTTGTGTTCTTTTTCTTACAAATTTTATTTGTCCTCCTGTAGGGCCGATATATTTCAGCCTTACAACCCTATTTTATCATGATTCATACCCTTATTAGAGTTACTCTTGGAATATTATTTATATTACTAATAAATATGTCAATCAGTCGCCAAGGAAAGGACATAAACATTAATTTAAGCAAAGACCGATATATCGGCCTTATTTTATCGAGATATGTAGAGTTTGTTAATGTATTTATTATTATGGGGGGAGCGGGGGAGCTAACTGGCAGGGCACTAAGCTTCCGGTGCTCAAGGTCCCAGGTTCGAATCCCGGGGCTCATGGCAGAAAAATTATTTATTCTGTTTCATTGGCTGTGGTGCGACCATGGGGTAGTGAGACCCTCCTGAGGCACACCCAGCCTCTATAAAATGGGTATCCTTAATTAAATAACTGATTAAAGGGAAAAACCTGGCCGTTGAGCGTGGTCCTGGCCCAATTTCCATTCTGCAGAACCGTAGGCCTTGAAACAGTACTTTCCCTAAATAGTACTGAACCCAAGACACTTCATGGGTTGTAGTGGAACAGGTTTTTTTAATTTTTTTTTTTTTAGATGATGTCCCACATGTATGGCTTGAAACATCGGCACTAATAAAAACCTTAAAATTGACTACGTCCTGATTATTTATCATTTATAATCAGTGGAATAGTCAACTAACTTCCTTCAATATTATTATATATATATATATATATATATATTTTTTTTTTTTTTTTGGTCCTCCACTTTCCCTAATTTGAGCGGATATCGATATTCCTGCTCTATGACCTTAATCAATATATATTTATATGGTTGTGAGGTCAATATACCGGTGCAAGGGGAGGACGAAAAAAAATTGGAAGAGCAGAAAAAAAAATGATGTCAAACTTTACCTATCTTGATAAAATAAGGTCTTTATAATATATAAATAAATATATTGGTCTTTAGAATATCGGTATTAGCTTAAAGTTTGGGAAGAGGAGGACAAAAAAATAAAATAGATAATAAATGTTCTACCAATAAATAAAAATAAATACCAATATTCTAAAAACCTGTGTGTCCCTGATATGCTGAAATTTAGGTTTATCACTTTTTTATCGCTTAAAATTTGTGTATAGAGATAAGCGTAGATGGTCTATTGATTCCTTTATTTAGCAATAAATAAGAAATTCTATGTGAAACTGTACAAACCTTGGCGGAAAGAGAAAAAAAGGCTCATGTATTGGCCAAAATTTCGATATCAGTCGATCTCTATTTATGATCAATAATTTTATCATTTAACAAAATTTTGTTCATGATCTCAACAGAGGTGATACTTACAAGAAGATCAATCATCCATGGGTTAAGAGGTTCAAAGCCCTCAAACCTATTTCTCAAATCTCTCAATAATCTTATCAGGACTTTAACAGAAGAATGCTGGGCATTTTCTTCGAACCAACGGCTAAAAAAAAAAAAAAAAAAAAAACAACAAAATTTAAGCTCTGCATAAAGAGTAAACTGATATAAGCAATTTAAGTATAGCAAGACCAACCTATGTCTTATTGCTGCTAAATGTCTCTGTAAAATTTTATATTCCATATGTAATTCTGGATCCAATTTCCGGAGATTTTGATGAACTGTAGTTACAAGTACCCGGACTGTTGCATCATTATTACTGACATCAAATCCTTGCTCATTAACTGACATTCCTAAAACTGAAGAGGAAATACTTCCAATATAAGATGATTACCAATATTGAAGCAATCAAAACTGTTATATAGGTAACAATAATGGAAATTTATTTTATATTTGATGGAGTACCTTCTTTTGGATTAGCAGTTCTAAGATCTTCAATAACCCTGTTTCCAAGAGCACCAACACATTCTTTCGTAGGCAATGTTTTAAGTATCACAACTATGTCAGCTACATTTTTTCCAGTGAGCATTGTTCCTTTTTTAAATGAACCAACCTGCCTGGACTCATCTACTTGCTAAAATACATAAATGAAATTGAGTAATGTAATGAATGACGAAAGACTAAAAGCTGAAGAAACATTAAATCTTACACAAGCATCAAAATTTCCAGGGGCAACTATCAAATTATCAAAGATGGTTTGAATTTTTGTGACCAAATTCAAAACTGCTGCTTGTTCCTGTGGTGATGGTGTTAAATCAGTATTCCTCTTCAGTAAAGCCTGAAACATGCAAAACAGATATTAAAATAAAAATCTAGAACAATCCTTGTTCTTTGGCAGCTATTTTTGTCCCCATCCTAGTACATAATTTAGTTCATTAGCTGAGTAAATTATCATTTCAAGCAATTTTATTTTTTTTAATTTTTGTAATTATGGAACATACAGAATATACTGACAAAATTACTTTACTCCTATCAGACCGTTCCACTTACTCTCCTACATCCAGTGATCCCACCTCATCATTAAAAACCAAATTTAACCTACAGCTAAAAAATCTTTTAAATTCTAAACTCATAAACTATCCTACTTACAGAAACCTTATCTCCTACAATTCAGTTGTTCCCCGTTTTTATGGACTTCCTAAAATCCACAAACCAGGCACCCCACTCCGTCCGATCACTTCCAATATTAATTCTCCTTCAGTTAAACTTAGCAAAAGCCACAACCCTTATGATGTACATAACTCATTCCATCTCTGTGAACAGTTACTCTCCTTTACCATTCCAGACAATTTTATTCTTTACTCCTTTGATGTTGAAAGTTTATTTACAAACATACCCACAGACAAGGCACTTACTATAATAGACGAAAATTGGACTATCATTGAACCTCACACCTCACTTAACTGCTCCTCATATCTTGAATCCCTTCATCTATGCTGTAAATCAGGCTACCTCACTTTCCAAGGACAATTTTTTAACCAAATCTCCGGGCTAGCAATGGGTAACCTCCTCGCTGCCGACATCTCCAACATCTTTCTCAATGATCTTCTTGACTCCATTATCGCTCTTTACCCAGACGATATCATCTTTAATCGAAAATATGTAGACGACCTCCTCCTAATCATCAATCCAAACAAAATTCCCGATATCCTATCAAATTTTAACTCTTACCACCCCCACCTCAATTTTACAGTACAACGCGAACTCAATAATTCTCTCCATTTTCTCGATCTTCTAATCATTAAAAATCCCAACACCATATCCACAGACTGGTACACTAAACCAACTTACACTGGCAGACTTCTAAATTTCCATTTAAACATCCCTGCCACCAAAAAATTAACGTTGCTAAAAATCTCATCCACCGTAGTCTTTCTCTCTCTGATCCCCAATTTCATATTACCAATATCAAACGCATAAAACAGATCCTCTCAAACAATAATTTTCCTCTCCATGTCATTAACAAACTTATAACAGACCACAATAATCGCTCTTCCTCAATCTCGACTTCCACTAATTCTCCAACCCATTTCGTCCTCTATATGCAAATCTCTACCTTATATTCCTAACCTTTAGGACAACATAAACAAAGTTTTACGATATACTAACCCTAGCTTACGACTTGCATTCAAATCTCACAACACACTCTCTAAATTATACACATCCTTAAAAGATCCTGTTCCTCTCTCTCACATCGTTTACCGTACATTCCGTGTTCTACCCCCAATTGTTTTTCATCCTATATTAGTGAAACCAAAAATCTTCTAAAAGACCACATCACCCAACATAAATATTATGATGTAGAGATGGTTGACCGTGGATATGATATGAGAAGGAGTTAGTTGAGGGTGCGGTCAAATAAATAAAAAAAATTAAAATATATAAATAATTTTAATTTTTTCCGACGTTTCGACCCACTTTGCAGGTCGTCTTCAGGGCTACAAAAGATACAAACATGTTGAAAAAATAAAATAAACATAAGTATATATAAAATACATAAGTATATATAAAATATATAAAATAAACATAAGTATATATAAATATACTTATGTTTATTTTATTTTTTCAACATGTTTGTATCTTTTGTAGCCCTGAAGACGACCTGCAAAGTGGGTCGAAACGTCGGCAAAAATTAAAATTATTTATATATTTTAATTTTTTTTATTTATTTGACCGCACCCTCAACTAACTCCTTCTCATAAATATTATGTATCCTCTCATAATTTTACCGCCTCCAAATTATCCGAACATTCTCTCCCCCTCAATCATACATTTGATTTCGACAAAACATACATCCTTGTCACAGTTCTCAACCATGATGAACGACTCATTTCTGAAACCCTCCGCATCCAGCTTCAACCAAAGACAGTGAATCTAAAAACAGACAAACAGAAGTTATCTTTAGCCTACTCCCAAATTCTGAATGCATTAAAACATCCATAGTTATATTCCTGTCCTTATCGCTGACAACTTCATTATCTATATAGAAATAGAAATAGAAATAGAAAATAACTTTATTCTGGGACAAAGTCCCTTTAGAATAACAAATAGAACATAATTAAAATACTACGTCTGGCCAAAATAAAACAATAATAAAAAACAGAAAGTAAAGAAAATATTAGTTAAACAAGCTATATAAAAAAAAAAAATCTATATACAAAACACTTAAAACTATGATAAAATACTTAAGACTATGTACAGTAGGAAAAATTATAATTATACTCTTTTGAAAAATAAAATAATAAAAAATACATTGAGTTCTTCTTTAAAATGAGGTGTGCTTCTGCAAACAAAGCTGACAATATAAAATACCAGTGTCTTTAAATAATGATTAATATGTAGACTCATCATTGTCAAATGCTAGAGGTACAGATTTAATTATATACCAATAAAAAATAATAATAAAAAAATAAATAAAAAAAGCAAACAATAGATGCAGTCAGTGGCATTAAGAGCCGGAAAATATTGTAATATCCCTAGTGAAATTCACAGTATAGAATAGCACTATCGTTTGATGATGACTATAAATGTATAATATCGAAAGTTTAGCAAGTATCTGATTGTTTTTGGGATAGGAATTGGAATAGGAGGGATTTGAATGTGGATATGGAGGGGGAATAACGAATTTTAATAGGTAGAGAATTCCAGAAATTGACAGCGCGAGCTATAAAGGAATTCTGAAAGGAGGCAGATCTGTGCGAAGGGATGTAGAGGTCAGAAGGTCGAGATCTTGTTGAAAGGGAATGGACTGAGGTCTTGAATTGGAGAAGGTTGTAGGCGTAAGAAGGACGATGGTTGTTAATGATTTGATAGAGGAACGTACCTAGGAAATATTGTCTTCTAAAGGAGGGGAAGAGCCACCTTAACTCAGTGTAGTGGTGAGAGACATGGGAGTACCTCGGGGCACCGATAACAAATCTTACCCAGCTATTCATTAATCTTTTCGTCTATCACGGAGCTCCACCGAGAGGCCATCATACACCACACAGCTGTAGTCAAAGTGGGGGAGGATGAGAGAGGAAATTAGGAGTCTACGGGTATGTTGAGGTAGGAGATGGCAGAAGCGATGAAATAGTTTAAGGGTAGAAATTGTCCTACGGGAAATGTGAGAAATATGGTAGTTCTAGGAGAGGGTTTGATCTATGAATAATCCTAAATTTTTAACAGAGGAGTAGAAGAAAATTGGCTGGTCATTAAGGTATAATATGGGAAAGTCCGTATGGGATCTAATAAGGGGCTTGGAACCAATGACAATGGCCTGAGTTTTGGCAACATTTAACTTTAATCCATTTACATTTGCCCAGGCACTGATTCGATCAAGGTCTTCATGAATCTTGGCAAATGCTACCAATAACTCAGAGGGAGAAAAGGATAGGTAGATCTGGGAATCATCTGCATAAAGGTGATGGGAACAATGGAGAATTGAATTATGGAGGTCATTAATGTAGGAGCTGAAAGGGAGAGGAGATATGCTTGAACCCTGGGCAACTCCGGAGGATAAAGGAACGTAGGCAGATAGTGGTTGATTGGGTATTGAGACTGCTTGGGTGCGTTGGGAGAGGAAAGATTGGAACCAAGAGATGGAACTATTGGAGAAAGATAATGATTTTAGTTTGTTGAAGAGGATGGAATGGTTGATGGAATTGAAGGCTTTGGAGAAGTCGAGGAGTATAAGGACAGTTAATTTTCTATCATCTATTGCAGATTGAATGTCATTGGTAATTTTAATTAAGGCAGATTGTGTGGAATAGCCGGGTTAGTATTATCAATCTAATTTTAGGCCCAGTCCCAATATTAGAATAGGACTTCAGAGCTAGTACTTAAAGTTGATACAATATCAAGACTTAATCACTCAAACAAGCAATAATTTACCACTCCTAATGATAAAGCAATGATGCATGTTTACAGCAGAAGGTTCGATCTAAACACATGCCTAAAGTAATTTATTTTACCTATAATTACTAAATTAATGGAAAATAAGTACCTGGGTAAATACTTCATCGTTTACAGCAGGTTTCACGCGAGGGAATGCTGGTTCACAAAGAACCATATCAAATGGGTGCCTTGGAACAAATTTTTGAACTTTAAAAGGCACACCACCTCTTCCAACACCTCCCCGTCCCATTCCACGTCCTCCTCTTCCTCTAGCCATGCTATTAGGGAACATTTAAAAAAGCGGTAAAGATTGAATCATCAAAAATGTCAACAACAATTGTTATGTTTGACAAAAGACTGACATGAACGAATCAACACAGAGACGCTAAACGTCAACAAGAAGCCGGTGTTAGTTAACCTTGCGATTAATATCATCAAATCATGGTTATAATTTTCCAAGTTTATTATTTGTCTTAGTATTGGTTTTTTAAAATTTAATGACGATAAAATTAGGATAATTTTTCGTAGAGTAATTAAACATTAACTCAAACAAATGAATGTGATGATGTACTATAACTAGCATTGATTATTTTATAAAACAATTAAATGTATTGCAGTAAAGAACTATATAAATAAACATATTGAGAACATTTTTTTAAATAATATAATTCATTATAATTGATAAATTTTCAAACAATTGCAATTGAACTGTAGAGAAGTGAGAACTATAGAAAGCTGTGGTTAAGGTCACTTGGCCGAAGACACTCAACAGCTCAGCGTAGCTTCCATTTTCCTGAATTTGTAAAAACATGGCCGAAGGTGATTCGAAGAAATTAGCCGATTTAAGAGTTGTAGATCTTAAAGTCGAGCTTGAGAAACGAGAGATTGACACGTCTGGTGTTAAAGCTGTATTAGTCAAGAAACTTCATAAAGTAAGTCCAGTAAATTCAACGTAATTAAATACTTTATCGTAGCGTTGTTGAACTGCCGCATTAGGAGGGTAGCTCGCAACTTGTTTTTTCTCCTATAAGTGTTTTTGGAATTTCTTTTGTGATTGAGGTTAATTAACTCAAGAGTTACTTTTTGTTTTCTAGCGTTTTTTAAAAATTAATTTTGGTTGTTAATTAACCTGCTAGTGTTTATTTTACATTTTTCAATTTCATTTAACTTTTTAAACAACTTTATTGATATATTTATAAGGTTTTGAACTCGGCATTTTTAATCATAATTTTGTTGTGTATTTATAATTTCCCAATTCATTAGACTATTAGAACTGACAAATTACTGAACACTTTTCAATTTGTTATCAATATTTTATGTATGGCTAAACAATAACTTGAATCTGCACTATTTCTTATGTTCCAGACAATTCTAATTTTATAGTTAGTTGGAAAAAATAGAGTTTAGCTTAAGTGTCTATAAGATACTGATAGGGATTGTTTAAATGGGAATTAAATTTGTTAATTTAGAAATTTACTTGTTATTTTTTAGTATGTATTTGTGTCTGTAGTCTAGGTAATATAATTTCATTAAATTTGGTGAATACCCTTTTTTGTTACAACTTCAACTTGTTACAACTGTGTTGATCTTGATTCTCTAATGAAATATAAGTATTTAGATGAATTAAATTTGGTCAAGAGTTGAGTTGGTATGTACAGCAACTTTGTTCTAGAGTGAGCTTTATGATTAATATTTGAAATTAGTTTTGTTACCTTTGTAAATATATAATTCCACTTTTTCCAATGGGCCAATATCTCATGTTGACAGTATAAGTGGAATTCTGAGTATTACTAGCAATGTTCAAAGTATAATATCCCTTTATTCAAATTGTGATATGTGACTTCTTCAAACTCTCTAATTATCCCTTCAGTAAAATCCCTCTAATAATTTCAGTAAAACTGGGATATTAATCAGCTGTAAACATATTGCTGCTTTTGACTCTAGCTTGCTCTGAAGGGATAAAGCAAACTAAAAACAATTCCTTTCCATTAGTATTTAGGCTCTTACCCAGTAGATTCATTCGTTTCTGAATGTTCTGGGAATTCTATTTTTGGTTTCCAGAATTCACAAGAACTGAGATCTTGTGCCATTCATGAAAGTGGAGTGATATTTATACAGAAGTACCCATAGCTTGCTATGGAATCACAAGAAATTCCGAAAGCTGGTGGTGACCGAACTCTTTGGCAAGGATCCAATATCAATTGAAAAGAATCTGTTGGGAGTTTAGTTTATCTCTTTTGAGCTAGTGTAGCAAGATGTAGTCTAATGTGGCAATGTTATTAAACCTTGATTTAACTGATAAGATCAGTTAGAAGTTTATAGTAGTTGTAAATCTCTATCTAAATAAGGGATAGTTATACTGTGAACAGGTGGCCACCTCATATGAAATCAGTCATTATAATGAACATCAAATTATTAATTAACCTAATAAGATCCCCCATAAATATATCTTATTCCTATCAGTTGAAATAAATTTTTTATTACTACTAAACTTTAAAAATATACCAACAGGATTTATTGAATTTCATATGAAAATTCCTTATACTAATTGTCTTTTTTCATGAAACCAAGTAACAAACTGATTAAATAATAATAACAACTTGGTTACAATGAATAAAATTTTGAATAGTGGCAATACAACATCTATTATATTAAAATAAAGCACTAACAAATTAAATATTCTATGATTGATTTTATTTAACAGTAAAAATTATAAGAAAAAATTTAATATTTAAAAAATAATTTTACAAATGTTTAAATGATAAATGTGAAAGAAATTACAAAAACATTCCATTAACTATTTCGCAAATTTGTCAAATTTCTTTTTTTCCTCTTGTTATTGTGTGTTGATGTGATAGTGCCCCATTATTTTTAATTTAGTAATTGCTTATTTAAATACATAAAAAAATTGTAATTATTTGGTTGACTTATTATTTTCTGTGGGACATAATCACGTGTGTGCAATCCTCGTCCTTATAATTTTATAATTAGATATAAGTTTTAATAAATCTTATATGCGCATCACCCAAATTTCATCTTTCTAATGACCTATCATTATTGTGAACTACAGAGGCATTTTTCTTGAAATTTAATGATTAATTAATGGAAAACTGTTTTTTTTTTTGTGTAAAGAATTTTGTAGAATTTCAATGACTATTCCATCGTATTAAGTATAAAAAATCTTAAAGCGTGCATCCCACAACTTTCACTTATAGTTCTACTTTGAGTATAAATTATGCTATTGCAAAAGGTTTTGGAAGTACTTTTGTAACAGAGTTAAACAAACCTTTAAAAATCACGTTTGTGAATTTCGGTCATATTTATCAATGCAAAAACTCATTAAGACCATCAAAATAGCACAAATCCTATTTATTCTATCGATGCCAGGCAATAAAAATCTCAGAACTCCATCAGTCGGAACTTGATATACAAAGAGATTTGAAAGTGCGTCTCTTCCACTATTTTGTATGTTGATACTGTTTTTTTCTAAAGTTCTTAGCTTTCCAATATATTCAATGTTTAAGTTCTGTTAATCATTTTTCCTGAAATTCGTTATCAACCTTCGCCCTTTCTGGCCTCAAACCATGTTTTTCTTATGATGACTCAGATTTTAAAATTTTTCATGATTGAAATACTTTCATTTACTATATATCACATATATAGAAGTATGAAAGCAAAAATGTTAATGTATGTAATTGTTTTTGGCATTAGTGCCTTATTAATATTTTTATACGATGCTATCAAGTATGCTGAGCATATAAAGTCTGTTGGACATTTCAGTCTGACAACTGAAAAAAATAAAATAAAGATATTTGTTTTGACCTTTCAATTGCCAGATGATTTCGTTTGTAAGAAGTAATTTTTTTAGGTGAATATTTACTTTGTTTCATAATTTGAAATCAATATACCTCCTAATTTCAACAAGAAAAGTTAATGTTAAGAAAAAGATTCCTCCTCCTCTAAATTTTTTAAATGGTGTGAGTAGGGGATTTAGGTTGTGATATGGCTGGAAATTAAGTAGCTAATTATTTGTTTTACTTTTTTTTTAGGCTTTGGTTGATGAAGGGCATGATCCTGACACCTATGTTTTTCAGATAGATAAAGGTCCATCTACTCCTCAGAAAAGTGCCAAAAGTAAGTTTTATTTTTGACTAATGTGAATGCTTTATTAAGTTTAATTGAGATACTAAAAACATATAACCATCGCTAAACCAATAGACACCTATTAAAAGAGATAGCAAACTATGATAGAAAAAAAGTTATCCTCAGCACAAACTAATTATTAAAACATCTTTTACTTTTAGAGAAGAAATTTTACTCTTGAAAACTTAGCACTTTAATTATGAATTTTCTGAAATGCCCAAAAGTCATTTTCAAGATATTTGAAGTTCAATATTGTTAAGATGACTTTTAAGTGAAAACTTATGGGAATGATACAGTTCATACTTTTTGCCAGTCACTGGGATGGTCGAGAGACTTCGACTGCTACTCTTACATCATATAGAGACTGGCCTTTCATTTGGCAGTTGTCTTACTGTCAAAATTAGTCAAATTTCCTTCTTCAGTGATTCCATGTACCTATGTGATAATTTTTTTTATTTCTGCTTATTCTTTTTAAAACTTAAATAATATTAGTGTTTTTGATGTAATCTAATATTTTCCTTTTCAATTTGAACAAACTATAAGTGTTTTGTTTTTATTTTCTCAAAACTATTATTATAAGTGAATAAATTGTCAATTTTTATTATTATAAACTGTCTTTATCAAGCCTTCTTTCATAAAAGTAGAAACAAAAATAAACTATGAATCCCCCGAGTTTAGTCAAACTCAAATTTTCCTTGATTAGCTCGGAATATAGGTTGGGCCCTCGTTTTACAGCTGGAAATTTTAGAAACAAACCTGATCTGTTTTCACACAAATACATAATTTCAATTTCATACTAAATTTCGGTGTTTTTTTTTTTTAGAATATTTTATTTGTTACCATTTCTTAAAGGTTGTATTTCTAAAAAAGGTTTCTATTTCTAAAAATTTATTATGATTTAGAAAAAGAAGTGGAAGATGAACAAGACAATGAAAAAGATGAAAAGTCTAATGAAAAAGCAGATGCTTCTTCCACCAAAGAGGAAGCATCGAACAATGACAAGGAATCAGAAGTCTGTGAAAATCTTGTCAAAGAGAATCTGTCTTCAGAAGAAGAAAAGAAATCTGAAGAACCAGCTAAAGAATCAAGTGAGAAGGAAGAAAAGACAGTAGAATCTTTAAAAGAAGGTTCAGAAGCCATAAAACAGGAAGAAAAAGAACCAGCAACTGAGGTAATTTATCTTAAATTAATTATCAAAATTATTTCCAACTCTCAATTGTTAATATTTTCTGGGAGTTCATTGAATATTTTTCCAAATTGACATCTATTTATTATGAATTCATTTACTATATTCTGATAGATTTTAGCTCAAGAAATATGGGTTGTTGTATTCTTTAATTATTATAACGTGTTAATCATTAGATCAGTAAAGTAAGGAAGGTGTGTAACTTTTATATAAAGCTATTATTTAGTTATGTTCATGCTTTTAATCTTCCAGTGGGTGCTTGATTTATGGAGTGACCCATGCCTTTTCAGTAGTGATAAATATTTTGTTGTTTATATTCTAAATCCACCATTTTGTAAATTAATATGTATACAATTTCTAATAGTAGTTATTTATATGAAATGATTCTAAATTCTTTTTTCTGTTTTTAACTTAATTTTTTGATTGCAAAAGAAACATGTTTATTTTTTTGTTTATTTAAAATAAAGCAGGGCAACATTGAATAACATAAATAAATAATTATAAAAATATTTTATGAACTTTAATAGTTTACATCTGATAAAAAATCAAGTATAAGTTACATATACTTAAAAACATAAGTTTGATTACAAAACAATACAAGTTAACTATTATTATAAAAAGCAATTATAAAAATGTAAAAGCAACAAATTAATCACTTATTCAAATTAATCGTTATCAGATTCTTCCTGTAAATGACACGAAATACACACAGGCTCAATTACAAGATGGGCTTTACAAGTCAATTTTAATACTTAAAACATATTTTCGCAGTGTTTATGTTCTTTTTCTTTCACACACATGGCACTTAAAAACTTCTATTCAACCATAAACACCAATAATATCCAAGAAAAACTTAAAGTATAATATGAGTGGGCACGGAGTGTGCCACAACAGTTCTATCAATCCATCAATCACCAATCCATGCAAAATAGTGATTTTGTTTTTCTCGTCATTTTTATTTTTAATAACAAATTAATCCTTTTCTCCTTGCTATGCAGAACTGTTTCTTTTAGTAGTATTTTCGAGTTGCTACTCCAAGATAGACAACATAATCTATAATTAATATAAAGGGAATTTCAACTGATAAATATTCTATTATTTGATTATATGGTTTATTGTAGCAAAAACAGTAATAGTATTCATTCCTGTAAATTTCACACATTAATGAGATTTAAAATAAATGATCTGTGAGTTTCGTAATTTATGTTATATTGGGTATGTTTAATAATGATAGTGGCATTTGATTGAAGTATGTGTCCAAATAAAATCATAATACTTTAAAGGGAAGACTAATAAGAGAATTTTAATTTTTTTTTTATTTCTAGGAAACTAAAACTGTTGAGGAGAAACTATCAAAAGAAGAGGAAAAGAAAGATGAATCAAAAGTAGAGGAAAAAAAGGAAGATTCAAAAGATGAGGTAAAGAAAGAAGAAAAGGTTGAAGAAACTAAACTACAACTTGAGGAGACTATGGAAACTGAAACAGAGAAGCCAGATGAAAGTGAAATAAAAATGGAGGTTAGTGAAGCAAAAGAAGAAAAGCCTGAGGCCAATGAAAAAGAAGCTGAAGAAGAAATTGAAAAAGATACAAGCAAAGATGAAGATATTTATAAAGAAGAAGAGGAAGAAGAACCCAAAGATTATGAAGAAGGAGAAGAAATTGAAGAAGGGGAGGAAGTAGAGCATCATGACGAAGATTCAAAAGCTGCTGATGTAAGTTCTTAAAAATGCTTGGATTTGTTATTTTATTAATTTCCTAATTATGTTACATTATCCGATTTTTGAAGGGTCCAATGGATGAAGTGACTTTTTTTGGGAATATTGCTTAAAATGATATATTTTTCTTATAACCTTCTATTCACATAAATTCAACGTTAGGTTCAAAACAGTGTTAATAAAAGTGCCAAGTTATAATATATCTGCCTTTTGAGCAAAAGGCAATTAAATTTCAGTTTTCTTAAAACTCAAAAATTGTTGCTTATTACTTTTATTTCCACAGTCATATCCACTTGACCCTTGGATATTGGATTTATTATTCAGATATTTAAAAATGATTATATATATATTATATATATATATATATATATATATATATATATATCTTATAAAACTCGTGCTATTATTATTATTTTTTTTTAGAAATTAATCCACATTGAAATTAGAAAAAGCATTTCAGCAGGCCCTGATTTTAAAAATATTTGATCTAGTTTGGAAAAAAATGCTATATTAAAAGTTTTTAATATTATTATTATAATATATTATATGCATTGAAATTATTTGAAAGCAACAAAGTTCTTGGGTTATTATACTCAATGAAAAATGAGTGTGGGTATTTTTTTTTTTTCTCCTCTTCCTCGCCTTTTAGGCTATACAGGGATTTTCTGGGCCAGGGGAGAGGGCAGAAGAATTATGCCAGAGTTAATTAAAAGTCCCTCTGAAACTAGGATTTGAACTCATGATCTTCGGGTTATCATTTTTTATACCCATATTTTATACACGCGTTAGCCTGCTGAGATACTTCGCCTCCATGAGTGTGGCTACGCATCATTGCAATTTCATGAAAAAGGACTAGATCTTTACCAAGAAGATTCTTAATTCATCCTCTCATTGTAGATACAGTATCTTCTTGTTTTCCCTGCGATTCTTCTAAGAAACCTCATTTCCACACTGCTCTCTTGTTTATTTGTCATTATCCAGCTTTCAGCTCCATATAGGAGTACTGACAAGTATATATTTCTGATAGAACTATACTTCTTAGTATGTTTTTATGAATTTCGACCTTATTTATCAAGGCGAAAACACAGTAATTGCATCGAAGTGACATAAACTTTTCTACATATCAAAAATAGTTACACTTAAGCCAAAGTATTCTGTGTTTACAAAGAAAAAAATCATTGAAGTTCCTAGTGATTTAAAGTTATGAATGGTTACTCAATGATTTAGAATAAACTTACGGTTCGATCTTTATCTATTTAAGTCTGTTTCAAATTTTCAGGATTTTTTCTATACAAGTACTTTATTACGGTTTTTACAAATTTTGCCTTACGTGTCGTTCGCAGTTATATTACGACTCGTCAAAGTGGACATGGAAGCTGTTAGGTTGGTCAGGCCTGTGTTAAATTCATGGCATTTTAGTAGGCAGTAGGCCCAGATTCTAAAAATATTTTAATCTGGTTCGGATATCACTGCTATATTATGATCTTCAAATACCATAATTTACATCATATTAACATTAAATGTGTTCAAAATTATTTGTAAGGCACAAGCTTATTTAATTATTATATAATTAATGTGAAAAATAAGTATTCTTATAAGTATCATTAATATTTCGTAAAATGATTGCATTTCAGTAGGCCCAGATTTTTAAAATATTTGAATCTGGTTTGGACATGAATGCTATATTGAGAGCTTCAAATGTAATTTACATCATATTCATAATATATGCATTGAAAATTATTTGAAAGCAACAATCGTATTTAATTATTATATATATTATATACCAATAGATGATTTATAATAAGATTCTTATGAAAATCAATGCATTTTACTCATTAGTTTGTAAAAGCTTAAAGTGCAGTCTGTAGTTATGTTAGGACTCATCAAAGTAGTTGACAAAGCTATTTAGATTAGTCGAGCCTGTGTTAAAATCATGGCACTATTTTAGCTTGCCAAATTTTAAAAAAATTAAATCTGGTTTGGATACGAAAGTTATATTGAGAGCTTCAAATATAATTTACATCATATGAATATTAAACGTGTTAAACATTACTTGAAAACAACAAACTTATTTAATTATTATAGGATTGTAAATAATAAGTGTTCTTATGTACCATTTCGGTTTCCAAAAATCATTGCATTTTAGTAGGCCCAGATTTTAAAAATATTTGAATCTGGTTTGGACATAAATGCTATATTATGAGCTTCACATATAATTTATACCATATTAATAATATATGCTTAAAAAATTATTAGAAAGCAACAAACTTATTTGATTATTATACTCATATTAAAAAATAAGTGCTTTTATATATCAATATTATTATGAAAAATTAATGCATTTTACTCATTAGTTTGTAAAAGCTTAAAGTGCAGTCTATAGTTATGTTACGACTCATCAAAGTAGTTGACAAAGCTATTTAGATTAGTCAAGCCTGTGTTAAAATCATGGCACTATGTTAGCTTGCCAAATTTTGTAAAAAATTAAATCTGGTTTGGATACGAAAGTTATATTGAGAGCTTCAAATATAATTTATATCATATGAATATTAAACGTGTTAAACATTATTTGAAAACAACAAACTTATTTAATTATTATGGGATTGTAAATAATAAATGTTCTTATGTACCATTTCGGTTTCCAAAAATCATTGCATTTTAGTAGGCCCAGATTTTAAAAATATTTGAATCTGGTTTGGACATAAATGCTATATTATGAGCTTCACATATAATTTATACCATATTAATAATATATGATTAAAAAATTATTTGAAAGCAACAAACTTATTTGATTATTATACTCATATTAAAAAATAAGTGCTTTTATATATCAATATGATTATGAAAAATCAATGCATTTTACTCATTAGTTTGTAAAAGCTTAAAAGTGCAGTCTGTAGTTATGTTACGACTCATCAAAGTAGTTGACAAAGCTATTTAGATTAGTCAAGCCTGTGTTAAAATCATGGCACTATTTTAGCTTGCCAAGTTTTGAAAAAAATTAAATCTGGTTTGGATATGAAAGTTATATTGAGAGCTACAAATATAATTTACATCATATGAATATTAAACGTGTTAAACATTATTTGAAAACAACAAACTTATTCAATTATTATGGGATTGTAAATAATAAATGTTCTTATGTACCATTTCGGTTTCCAAAAATCATTGCATTTTAGTAGGCCCAGATTTTAAAAATATTTGAATCTGGTTTGGACATAAATGCTATATTATGAGCTTCACATATAATTTATACCATATTAATAATATATGATTAAAAAATTATTTGAAAGCAACAAACTTATTTGATTATTATACTCATATTAAAAAATAAGTGCTTTTATATATCAATATGATTATGAAAAATCAATGCATTTTACTCATTAGTTTGTAAAAGCTTAAAAGTGCAGTCTGTAGTTATGTTACGACTCATCAAAGTAGTTGACAAAGCTATTTAGATTAGTCAAGCCTGTGTTAAAATCATGGCACTATTTTAGCTTGCCAAGTTTTGAAAAAAATTAAATCTGGTTTGGATATGAAAGTTATATTGAGAGCTACAAATATAATTTACATCATATGAATATTAAACGTGTTAAACATTATTTGAAAACAACAAACTTATTCAATTATTATGGGATTGTAAATAATAAATGTTCTTATGTACCATTTCGGTTTCCAAAAATCATTGCATTTTAGTAGGCCCAGATTTTAAAAATATTTGAATCTGGTTTGGACATAAATGCTATATTATGAGCTTCAAATATAATTTATACCATATTAATAATATATGCTTAAAAAACTATTTGAAAGCAACAAACTTATTTAATTATTATACTCATATAAAAAAATAAGTGTTTTTTTTAAAGCTTAAAGTGCAGGCTTTAGTTATGTTAGGACTCATCAAAGTAGTTGGCAAAGCTATTTTAGATTAGTCAGACATGTGTTAAAATCATGGCACTATTTTAGCTTGCCGGATTTTGGAAAAAATTAAATCTGGTTTGGATACGAAAGTTATATTATTAGCTTCACATATAATTTATACCATATTAATAATATGTGCTTAAAAAACTATTTGAAAGCAACAAACTTATTTGATTATTATACTCATATAAAAAAATAAGTTTTTTTTTATATCAATATGATTTGGGAAAATCAATGCATTTTACTCATTAGTTTGTAAAAGCTTAAAGTGCAGTCTGTAGTTATGTTAGGACTCATCAAAGTAGTTGACAAAGCTATTTAGATTAGTCGAGCCTGTGTTAAAATCATGGCACTATTTTAGCTTGCCAAGTTTTGAAAAAAATTAAATCTGGTTTGGATATGAAAGTTATATTGAGAGCTACAAATATAATTTACATCATATGAATATTAAACGTGTTAAACATTATTTGAAAACAACAAACTTATTCAATTATTATGGGATTGTAAATAATAAATGTTCTTATGTACCATTTCGGTTTCCAAAAATCATTGCATTTTAGTAGGCCCAGATTTTAAAAATATTTGAATCTGGTTTGGACATAAATGCTATATTATGAGCTTCACATATAATTTATACCATATTAATAATATATGATTAAAAAATTATTTGAAAGCAACAAACTTATTTGATTATTATACTCATATTAAAAAATAAGTGCTTTTATATATCAATATGATTATGAAAAATCAATGCATTTTACTCATTAGTTTGTAAAAGCTTAAAAGTGCAGTCTGTAGTTATGTTACGACTCATCAAAGTAGTTGACAAAGCTATTTAGATTAGTCAAGCCTGTGTTAAAATCATGGCACTATTTTAGCTTGCCAAGTTTTGAAAAAAATTAAATCTGGTTTGGATATGAAAGTTATATTGAGAGCTACAAATATAATTTACATCATATGAATATTAAACGTGTTAAACATTATTTGAAAACAACAAACTTATTCAATTATTATGGGATTGTAAATAATAAATGTTCTTATGTACCATTTCGGTTTCCAAAAATCATTGCATTTTAGTAGGCCCAGATTTTAAAAATATTTGAATCTGGTTTGGACATAAATGCTATATTATGAGCTTCACATATAATTTATACCATATTAATAATATATGCTTAAAAAACTATTTGAAAGCAACAAACTTATTTAATTATTATACTCATATAAAAAAATAAGTGTTTTTTTTAAAGCTTAAAGTGCAGGCTTTAGTTATGTTAGGACTCATCAAAGTAGTTGGCAAAGCTATTTTAGATTAGTCAGACATGTGTTAAAATCATGGCACTATTTTAGCTTGCCGGATTTTGGAAATATTTAAATCTCGTTAGGACATAAATGCTGTATTAAGAGGTAAATACCACAATTTACATCATATTTATATTAAAAGTCTTAGAAATTATTTGAAATCAACAAGCTTATTTAATTATACTCATGTAGAAAATAAGTGTTCTGTATCATTACAATTTGGGAAAATCAATGCATTTTGGTAGCCCCATATTTAAAAAATATTTGAATATTACAGTTTTTAGAAGTTTTATCTTAAGTGCAGTCCGAAGTTATTTTATGAGTTATCAAAATGAATGATAAAGTTGTTAAGATTGGTTAGACCTTCATTCATTATTGGCACAACAAACGCATGTAGCGGTCCTTGGCCTGCTCAATTTCCTTTGCCCAGTCATGCCCGTTGGCTGTGCACCTGATGGATATGCCGTTTTTTCTCAAGTCTTCTTTCACGTTGTCTATCCATCTTGCCTTCGGTCTTCCCCTAGACCTAACTCCCTCTGGCTTCCCATGATAAAGCCTTCTTGCTTCATCCATTCTTAGGACATGTCCAAACCATTTCATTCGCTACACTCTAGCGAATTAGGAGATAGACAGATCAACGTACATTGAGTATACCCCCTTGTTTGTTCTCAAGACAGATCAACGTACATCAGACAGATCAACGTACATTGAGTATACCCCCTTGTTTGTTCTCAAGACAGATCAACGTACATCGAGTATACCCCCTTGTTTGTTCTCAAGCGGGGAAATCCTTCCTCCAGTTTAGGTCCTGTTATCCGTCTCAGTATTTTCCTTTCAAAGCGATCTATTTGTTCAGCAGACGCCTTTGTTAAAGTCCATGTTTCACTCGCATTGTTGCAACTGGCCGAATAATCGTTTTGTATGTCCTAAACTTCGTTGTACGACTTAACAATCTACTTTTCAGATGGTTCGCTAGATAAAAGTACGCTCTGTTTGCAGCCATTATTCTAGCTCTTATCTCCCCCTCTTCGTTATTGCTATTGTTAATTATGGACCCAAGGTAGGTGAAGCTTGATACTGCTTGAAAAGTATGGTTTTCCCAAGACATAGTGCTGTGGTGGATGGACAAGCTTTTTCTTTCTTAAAACAAGGACCTTGGTTTTACTTTCGTTGATGCATAGCCCCATTTTCTCTGCCTCATTCTCCAACTTACTGAATGCACTCTTCACTGCTTAAAGTGATCGCCCTGCAATGACCACATCATCAGCATACGCGAGCAGTTGGGTCATTCTGTCTGAATATTGTTCCTCTGTTATTTAATTTTGCCCTTCTCATGATGGTCTCTAGGGCAATACTAGAGGAGTGGGGCTAATGAGTCACCTTGCCTAAGGCCCGAACAAACTGCAAAGGAGTCACGAATTCTTCCTTTTACCTTAACTCTACTGACGGTGCCTTCCATGGTAGCCATTGTTAAACGAATCAGCTTTGCTGGTATGCCCAATTCATACATTGCATAACAAAGCTCCTCTCTAATCACTATGTCGTACGCTGCCTTAAAATCAATGAAGAGCATCCACCTAGGGTTATTATACTATTTCATTTTTTCCATGCTCTGTCTAAGGGCAAAAATTTGATCGATTTGTCCTAAAGCCACCCTGGTAGTCTCCAAGCTGTCTCAACGTATGGCATAATGCGAATATACAGAGCAATAGAGATTACCTGATAAGCAGAATTAAGTATGCTGATATCTCTGTAATTTCTGCAGTCACTTACATCTCCTTTTTGAGAGGAAAAATGAGGGACTCTTTCCATTCTTCCGGTAGTTCTTCTATTTCCCAAATATTAACATCAAATATTCTAAAAGATGTTGAATACACAATAAAGTTTGTGTTAAACTTCCTGAAATCATACAATTTGTTAATAAAATTAAAAAGATTTTAAAAATTTAGTTCAGAGATTAAAAAAAGTAATCTACAGTCATTGATGACCACCTTAAGGTTTTACGCCTTAAACCCTCTATCAACAACTGTTGGTTTGAAAACATTCATGAGATCATCCCTGGGCATTTGAACCATCTAAATACTCAAGGTGTAAATTAAAATAATTTAAACAGATTCTGTTATTAGTAAAAACTATCATCATTATATACCTGCATGAGATAATATTGAAGGTGTAAATTTAAATAATTTATACAGAGATTGTCTTTGGTAAGTAAAGAACATTATTCTAGCAGATAGATTTAACATATTTTATTCAATAATTTGAGCCCAAATTGTTTAAACATACTCATGAGATCTATCTCATAATTGAATAATTTAAATCAGGGCTTGAAACAGAAAAAAAAAATTATTTTTAAAAAGTTTCGATATCATTAGAACTTATATTGTCGTTAGTTTTTCAGTTCTTTTGTTACTAGAACTTTTTCTCTTGCAATTTTTCAAGTAAAGGTTTTATTAAACCTTTATTAAAAAAAAAACTTTTATATAAAAATTCTGTCAATTTCTCTTCGATGAATAAGTCGATATAGAAAATTGCTTATTCATACGTACTCAAACAAATAATACATCAAAATCATGTCCAATTTATTTTAGACATTTAAGCCTTATTACTGTTTATTTTCCATTTAAAATAACTTTTTTAAGGAACTTTAATCCTAAACCTGGTACCTCGTTACAAGAAACTTCCATATTACTTTTATATTTAGTACTTTTTTCCTAAAATTTTTCAAAGAAAATTAAAATAAAACTTTTTAAAAAAGTTATATTTTAGAAATGAGAGGTATCGGCAGCCACACTGCAGAAGCCTAACTAAAAATTTTCAAGAGATGAATAAAAATGCATAACTTTTTTTTTTTTTTTTGTTTTTTCTGTCCTAAGTCAAAGATGTAATGCTCTATGTAGCTCTTTTGATCATATTTCTGCCTAATAATCTTTTAGAGCCATTACTTCTAACTTCTGGCTTTTTAGTTATTTTGAAAAACATGTATTAGTTAAGTAAAAGCAATAAAATTTCTTGTAGTTCATTAAATTTATAGTTAATATTTGTATCGAGGATCTGATTATATGCTTCTTTATATTAGATCCTTTATATCTATAGAAATTTTATTTTTGTAGGTGGGTTTAATAGAATTAAAGATTAATTTTTGTTTTTTTTTTTAATAGGAAAAAAATGATAATGATATGAATGGTCTTGACAATGAAGATTCTATCAACTTGACTTTAGGAGAGGAAGACGAAAAACTGATGGCTGGTGAAGTAAGCTTGTTATATTCTATTTAATTCTTTCTATAAATATCCATTCTGTAAATTAATTAAAATACTTTTGTTTACAGGTAGATCTTTTGACAAAAGATGGGAAAGGTATGGTTCACTCTTGTTTTAATTACTTTTTATATGTGCAATATATTTTTTTTCATTCTCCTTTTATTTCGAGTCTTCTATTACCAATGGCAGTGTGTACTTTTTCTGTGATCCTTATTTAAATTAAATTTTGACATTTATAAATTGTTAACCTGATATTAGATCATTGTACTCGTGAACCAATAGCTCTTCAAAATAAAATTTCCCCTTAATACTTAATAAATTAGTAATTCATAGCTTAAAAGTATGAAAGTTAGGATGCATTTATTCTCAATTACTAAGTTAATGCTGTTTGTTTACAAAATGATATTTTAAGTTATTGTTATCTTATTTTTATTCTAAAAATGTTTTTAATGAATATTATCAAACCACATTCCCTTGCTAGCTTTAGAATAATATGAATGATAATGAGATAATTAAACTTATCTCATTGTTTATTATTAGTTATCCTGCTGAATATGTTCTCTGTTGTTAAATTCGGTGATCTGATTTTTATAATAATATTAATACGTCATACTGTTAAGAACTTTCAGAATCTCTTTCTAAATCTTTTTATTGAATTCTGTTAAAATTATATTTTTCCTAAAGTTCAACTAATAAATTTTTGTTTTTAACTGTATTCATTAATAACACTTATTATTTAGTTTTTTTTCTGCTTTTTAAATTTGTGTTGGAGTAATATGGGTTATATTTTAATTTGAATAGTTCTTTATTCTTCCTTATAAGTATAAAAATCCCTCAATTTTCATTTGTACCCTAATTATATTTCTATTAGTTTCCTTTTTAGTTCCAGAATTATGTTTATTTTGCTGCCATTGTATGATGTTGTTAACAGTGAATAATATTTCCCAATGTTTACAATAATTATATAACTAATAATCATTCTTAATTTAAAACTAATATCCGTTTTTAAGTTCATTTTTGCAGTATTCATTTTCTTTTCTTCTGAAAACATGAATGAAGAAAACTGCAGATTACTATGGATGAATTGTTAAAACAGTGGATTAGCTTTCTTCCACTGCTTCTTTATTTTGAATAATGGTATATTCGAAGCAGGTAATGTTATCTGCTTTCATATGCTTAAGAAGTAGTGGAAGGCTGCAAGGCTTCTCTGAAAAATCGTCAAAAAAGCCTCCATTCTTATTGGTGTGGAAACTTGACAAGTGAAGAATATAGTTACTGATTGATTGGTGTCTGCCTCAGATTTGAAGGAGCGTGGCGTCAGCAGACTCTCGTCATCGAAGAAAGCAGCAACAGGACAGGAGCAGCAGAGGAAGTCTGACGTTCGGATTACCAGGTGATTACAGTACCACTACAAAACCAAAAAAATGCATCTAGTTTACTTGTCTGCCCTACACCACTTTCTCCCTATGTGGTGACCTCTAGGTACATTCCCTCTTTCTGATGAGGAGCATGCTGCTCAGAAGATCTCTATCTGGAGAACATATGAAGATGTCTGTCCAGAAAATTCATCATGAAGATAAAGATTTATTGTCTCCGACAGGTTTGTTGTATGGGATTAAACAGGTCTTCCTGCTAATGAGATCCTCTACTAAGATATTTTTGGCAAATGAAATGTTATCAGGCTAATATTTGGTTTGGCTTTTAAGTCATCAACTTGCCGATTATAGAAGTTTTGGTTGTTTCAAATTAGGTTTTTACATTTATTCCATCCTATTTGTAATATTTTTTTTTTAGAAAATTGATAGGGATTGGTTGGATTACGGCAATTTTATGTATAAATTAAACTTTAATGTTTTTGATGAAGTAACTGTGTACCTTTTTATTTAATTTGAGAATAGTATTTTTTTTTATTAAAGAATTCTTATCATCCACATAGCCTTAAAGTGTTTAGGTTACATCCAGTTTCGTTCAGTTATGTAGTTTTATTCAAGTCTAATTTGTTTCCTTTGGTTTCATGAGGTTTATGAATGTGATATGGATTTCTTTGCTATATGTTCTCTAAAATTTTATATAGTTGAATGTGAACATGTTAATGAAGGAACGTCCAAGTGTTGAAGGAGGTTTGAATTCTACGAAGTTCTTCTACTTCAAAAAAACCTGGATTTCATAAAAGTACTAGCCATCACAATTAATGCATAATGGATAATAATCTGCATGTACATTCCAATTCACATAGTTGTACTACTTATCTTGTCATGATATAAAGTAAAACAAATGACAGATATTCCACTATCCATGCTTCTGAAACCAAGGCTTTGGAGACATTTGCTCATGCTGCGTGTCTTAAATGATAATGCTTCAAAAACAATGATATAAATTAATGAAGAGTTTTAAAGAAAACAGGACAATATGGAATTTTGTTAATTTAACTTACATTTTTATTTTCCTTCCTTTTATTTTTAAAGAAAAAAATAACAGTTAATTCTGTGATTGTGTCCCAGTGAAATTTATTCTTCTTTCATTGCTTCCTAAACTGGACTGTTTCGTGTATAAGCAAGAGAAATAATGACCAGTCTCATTAACTTGAAATACTGATCTGGAATTGAATTAAGTTAATTTTAGTCAATATGACATTAAAAAAAGGGTATGTATGTATATCCTAAACCAATCTTATTTATTAGCTTCTATTGGTATTAAAACATGCTTTGGCATTTTGCTTATTGGGACTATTCATTCAATTTATCTTCACAGAATCATCTTGGCTTTGTGATGAACTTCTGTTTTTTAAACATTTGCTCATCTTCTTAAACATTCAACTATGGATATTTACTGATTGAATTTAAAAATCAATGCATAGACATCAATCTCTTACTTGTTTTATATATTGATAAAATGTCTTTTGAATTTGAAATATCTTTAGTTTTATTTATCATAAGTACTTAAGTATGTTAGTTACTCAATTTTAATAGTAAAAGTAAATCTTTCAGCTGTAGCCTATAAAACTATTCTATTTCCTTTATAAATGTATTTTTGTTGGCTCCTCAAGGGTTATTGTTTTCTTTTTATTCTATTTTATCATTTTTATTAGTAATTGCATTGATTGTTATTCGTTTTTTCTAACCCATTAGTTAATTGCTATCTTGTACTCTCTTGTTTGATGTCCCTTAAAATAAAAAATCGTTATTTTATTTCACAAATTGTAGCAAAATGCAAGTCAACTTTGTTCTTCCTTAATTACTCTGAGCAAATTTGATTTTTAGGAAATTATAACACTACTTGGTTTTAGTTTCAACACAGTATCAAGGTCAATTTATATATATTTTTGAAACGAAAATGTTAATAATGAATATTCAAATTTATTTTCATGATTGCTTTTAGCCTTTATTCTTAGATATCACTTAATTCAGGTCAAGTTTAGCCTTAAGCATATCTCTTGTTTAAGAACAAGAGTTTTACTATTAGATTTATCAACTTCTTTTCCTTCACTGTGTTAGAACTAAGCTTACAACTTATTTATAAAAATTTGGTCACATTTGGCCATCAATTTATAAAAAAATGAGAGAGAATTAATGCACAATTTCAAATTAGCAATCTTTATAGTTATTTTAGCAAGTTACTATAATATACATAATCAACATCATAATCATAGATTGGTTATTTTGAAGAAGAAGAAGAAATTTATCAATTTTCTAGAGAATGGATAGTCTTTATTTTAAATATTTTCGCTCCACTACTAAATTTATGTAAAATTGAAACAAAAAATAATTAAGCTTTCAAAAGTAAAATCATAAGCATTTAGTAGCTTCAGTTTTCTGAAATACCAGTCGGTACATGTCCATGTCAAAACAGTGAGATCATTTCAAGATACCAAAGACAAATCTTAATATGCAGTTCATGATTCGCTTGAGTCTGTCCTTAAGTACAATCAAGAGACCACAGTATAGCACATAGCAAAATGAAGGTAAAACAGTGAGAATGAATTCTCGGTTGTGGGAAATAATGATAAAAAACTAGTATGTGTGTACTTATTGAAATTTGGAAATATGAGTAGCATAATCTCTACTAAATTGGAGAGATCTAGATTAGAAAAAAGAGCAGGAGAGAGAATCTGTTTGCAATGATATCTCTCTTCTCAAAGCGTAACAGTTTCTCTTTTTGCCCTGTTTCATGTAACTTCAATCATTTTACTTGAAAATTATATAATTTCTTGAGTTGCAGATCAAACTGAACTAGATAAGTTACTTAACTGCTTCCAGTTACGATTTGAACCTATTATTCCTCAATGACCTAAGTATAGCTGATGTAACAGTGAAATGTTATGCTATAAGTTCCTATGTTATTATTGACTGATGAGGATTGTATTTATGCAAATATTTCATTTTATATAGTTTTACAATAGTGTTTTATTAATTCAGTTTTTTAATTTTGATTTATTGCTTTCCTTTTATTACATTTTAAAATTATTTATTATTTGTATTGATCTTATTTGTTTAAACTTTCAGCCCAGATAAAGCTGCTGATGAGAAAGGTAATTAATTATTAATTTTACTTTATGTTGTTAAATTAATGTGACGATCCTTCATTAGAAAATTTTTCTGTTGACAGACAAAAAGAGCAATCACAGGAATCTGTGGGTCAGTGGTCTTTCTTCTATCACCCGTGCTACTGATCTCAAACATGTTTTCTCTAAACATGGAAAGGTATTATCAACAACCTATTTCTGTTGTGGATGACCTGATTTAATTGTATATTGTTTCCCATCGATTAATCTTGTTAATTCTTACTCTTGAAAAGTGCATTACTTTACAATCATTGTATTCTATATTACTTTTTTTGTCAAGGCAAAAATTATTTAAAAGAAACAATGTAAATTCATAAAATTATTCCATCAATAGATTTATTTTGTAATCAGCTGTACTGTTTTCAATACGGTAACATAATAGTCTACGGGATTTAGACCATTTAAAGAATTATTTTGCACCAATCGCAAGTCCATTCTTTTGATACGCCTCCACACATTCCTTACACTTTTTATCTTTCTTTTATCTCTGTATTATAAATTTTCAAATGGTGATCATTTGTTTCTGATGAGATGTCTGAACTGATTTCCTTTTAATATTACATTTAACTCTATGATATAATATATATATATTTGCTAAATTCATTTTCTCATCCATTATTCCTAATTATGCAAAGGAACCTGCTTTTTCCTGCCCTCTTCAGCTTAACTATCTGATATTATGTTTGGTCACATTAAACACACATTTAGATCGTATTAGATCAGTTTCCAAATTGAAATAGATTAGATTTATTTAGGCGGTCTGATAAGTATATTTTGACAACTTGATGCGCAAATGAATGATGTATTGACTGACAGTTGTTAATAACCTTACTCTGTAGACTAATAAATTCCTAGGAAATGTTATGCTAGAAGGTGAGGACTTCTATGACTAAAATGAAATTTTATATTTTACCGTTGCTAATTTTATTCGTTGTGAATACACACAACCCCATATCTATATATTCAACTTAATTTTCTAATTTTAGTAACTTAAACAATTGAATATTAATTAATTCTGTAGCTAGATCAATGAAAATCATGCAAAAACATACAGAAGCCACAGGTAACTTACGAAGGCCCGTGCGGTCATTAGGCCTGCAGGTTCCTCATCCATGGTCTACACCAAAACGGAAAGACACGCAGAACTGTAAAAAAGTAGGAAAGAGAGGGACTGTAAGTTGCCTCCTGGTCTCAAAGCAGAGCAAAACTATTCATTTCAATTTTTTTTAAATTTTCTAAGCGATTAGGATAAACAACCATGATACTCTTCAAATGGGTCTGTCAGGTGACGCGTTTATCAATATTTTTTCTTCATCTGAATATCAAAATGATTCCTCAAATACTTTCTAAATAGTTTTAGAGAGACCCCCCCCCTTTGTTCAACAGTTCAAGATATATAGCTTACTATATTAGTGCCTATAGGTTGTGACAGTTCGAGATAGTGAGAAAACACTTTTTTTCTGGGTCATACTTAAAATTGTTAAACTGGAGGATAGATTATGGAAAACCAGTTTTCCATTGTGATTAAATCTTTTTTTTTTTTGTTGTTGTTAAAAAGTAAACAATATTAAGTTTATGCTAGATAAAAAAATTAATATGAACATTTTGTTTAATCGTACAATTTTAAAACTATCTTGATAACCACAAATCAAATATGAAATGTCGTGTACAGATTGGATAACAACACAACTGCTCTCTGTTGACAAACTAAATTTAATTAAAATGTGCTGTTTTCTATCTTGAAACAGTAGTACTTGCTTTGGAATATATTCAGAATAAAATTAAAAATAGATACTTTTTGACATGCCACCATCATAGCAAAGCATCAATTTATATCCTCTTTAATTTATTTTTTCTCCATCTTTTATTTTTTATAAGCAATTATTATTCTTTCTTTAATATTTTTTTATTTGTATAGGTGGTCGCTGCTAAAGTTGTTACAAATGCTAAAACTCCTGGTGCCAGATGTTATGGTTTTGTGACAATGGCAACGATTGAAGATGCACAAAAATGTATCACGGGCTTGAATTTAACTGAACTTCATGGACGACTTATCTCAGTTGAAGCCGTATGTATTTTAAAGTGTTTGTTCTAGATTTGTTTCAGTGGAGAGTCATTCTAGGTTAAATTTCGTCTGTCAGCAGCTATGACAAAATTAAGTTTTTATGGAATCATTTTTACTGTTTGAATTTCTTTGTATTACATTCTATGCTAAATTACCTTTGAAACAGTTAGTTAATTGTTTAACTTTAAAGAAAGTTAATATTATGATAATTAATTTTTCAATATTTTTTATGAAACTGGTGCAATTTGAATAATTATAAACAATGAATTATTACAAAACAAGAAATATGATTATCGTTCGTAGGTGTTCAAGTTACCTTGGGAACCGATAGAATATGTTATCAAATAGTGCAATAAAAAATAAAAGGAATTAATCGAAGAGATTATGTGAGATAAGAATATTTAAGGATCAGGCCATTGTTTATGATACTAAAGAAGAAAAATTTTGAAAGAGCTTATCAAATTAATTTTTGACCTCTCTAATGGCTTCAGTTGTCATTAATAAGAAATGCATTTTAGTGCACTTATAAAGGTTTTTAAATGACTTGCTTGCATCGTGAGAAAAAAAAATATAATTATGAAATGAACAATGTTTAACTGAATCCCGTTTTAAGAAAAGTTATGTTAAAAATTGCATTTAGTCAAAGTAATACCAATAGAAAATATCTTTGTCTTCATGAGAATGGAAAGAGAAACATAAACATTATGATTTGAGCACATATTGTCAGTGTTTATGAATTGTGTTTTGGAGATTTTATGATCACAATTCCTCCAGAGGTTCAAACAAAAAAATAAAATAAAAAGACTAATACAATCAATACTACATACAGTCCTTTTTTAAATAGTTGGATCATTGTTTAGTGTTATTCCTTAATGTGAACTGAATCCAAACATAATTAAGTTATCAAAAGCTCAATACACCATCCGTCCTACTATCTTCAGTCTTGGAATGTTGTCAAATTTGATTTAAAAAAAAGTTTATTTTTGATAGCATCATGAACTTGCTACGATAACGACAAGTGCTGCTTCAGTGTAAGGCTACAAGTTTGTGTGTCCTTATTGTCCGAGCCATTTTGCATTATTGCCTTTCAAAATACGTGAAAAAAAGTTTATCCATTGGAATCATGTTTGGGTACTTTTTCATTTTTAGGTAGCTAATCGTCCTACACCTGGGGCTAAGAAGCCTGTTGAAGATCGTAAGAAAATTGATGAAAGGAAGAGGTTAGATGAAAAAAAGAAGGCTGAAGAACGGAGGAGAGCAGAGGATAAAAGAAGAGCTGAGGAGAAAAGGAAAATAGAACTATCACCAAGAAGAAATGAAGAAAAAAGAAGAAAGCGTTCCGATTCAGAAACATTAGTACCACCAGGAACAGGTAAAATATATGCATATGTTAAGTTTATTTTAATCTTCGTTTTCCATAGGATTTGTCTTTTCTTTAGACAACCGAATTCAGTTGTTGGATCCAACATTTAAATGGAATGTTTAAAGGTATCAATCATGTTTGTGTATTCTGTGGGCAGACATATGTCTTATACTACATTTAAAAACTCATTCAATTTGTTTTGCAATAAAAGAAGTGAATATTACCCTTTGAAAAGAATTTAATATTTCCACTCTTATTCCATTGAAGTACATACCAGGAACAAGGTAATATGCTGTTGCTGCCAGAACTTCCATTGTTATAACTCTTTGCTGCAGTACTGTTGTAAATTTTACTGGTCTGGTAAACCTCAGCTGCAGCTATTGGAATTATACGAATGGATAATACTACTTCAGATTTGGAAGTTAATGACTTTTGTTTCACAAACTAAGGACTTCGAGAACAGAATTCATCTGAATGGACTTATTGACTCTGTCTGTTTGGAAAATATGCAAATAAAACAAAAAACAGAAATTTACTTCAACTCGAAGTCATTAACATCATTTGAATTTAGTTAGTTAGACATTAATTGTTTATTTTAGGAATAACAAATGTTTTATCATGGTTTACGATGAAAGGAAGTGAAGTTTGTGATTATTCTGTTTTTAAACACTTGGTTTTAAAAATTATTTTTATTTATTTAATGTTCTGTTTTAAAAATTATTTTTATTTATTTAATGTTCTGTTGCCAGCAAGGATTTGCCACAGCTACCAAATTTAAATAAGAAATCATTTATTATTTTCTAACGGTAGGTTATATTAATTGAAAGAGGGAAAGGGGATTAATTTTCGGTTATAAAATTAATTATTGGTTTGTCACAATACGAAAATGTGACCTGCCAAAAGATCCTATACGTTTTTCGGCGGTCTCCTATTATTAATTTGAATGTTCGTTTAATTGTTGTCAAAATTATTTATTTATTTTTTATGATTCATTCCTTGCTCATCACTAAATACATTAAACTATCTATTAAATATTCTCATAGTTTCTATGATTGATTCAGTGAGTTATTTTTGGTGACATATGAATCCGGATAATTAAGTAAGTCATTCGAAGAATTTGGTCTGTCCTTCAAGGATTGTCAAGTCCCTGATATCTGCAATATTTAACTTTGTAGCTCTAAATTGTAGATCTATTTTTAGCAATGATCATTTGAATTCTAATTGGGATGATCATAGAAAGTTATCCATTATAGAGTAAAATTTCCTCCTTATTGGACAGTATCATTAGGAGTTCTGGTAGCCCCAAAAATTTCTAACAATCGTTCCTAGCTCAGCAGTTATAAACCTACTCAATTTTAGAGTTAAAACGGTTGAAAGTTGACCCAAAGTTAGTTTTTCCTCTTCTCCTGTTTCTTTAAGTGTTGTTTTTCATGGTTTGAACGATAACACTCTTAAGAAGATTAACAAAATTCAATTTTTACTTTCACTTTTCTGTATAGTAAGGAAAAGTATTGCGATTGTGAGTCGAAATAACCAAGTCCCACATAATGATCTGTGTGTATGTATCAGTTTAACTAAAAACGAAAAGTCTTACAAAACAGAAAATTCATATTTTAGTCAGGTATATGCCTGGGATGTTACCGGACTTTTTCATTATAAAATCGGCTAACCGGAAGTGCCACTTAATGTAATTGATTTTATACAGTTTATTTTTACAATTTTCACAAAAACAGCTCTTAACAATTTTGATTAAACTCTCTGTATATCAGTGTATTATTAAGTGGTCTTTAGTATCAGCTAGGGCTTATCTATATTGATGTCAGCTTACAGAGCTTAAATGGCCAATGTTCAATATTTCTTCTTATAAAGTATCTTTAATTAGGTTTATTTTAAATAATTAACAGTCTCCTATTGTTATTAGTAATATAAATGGCTCAAAATAATTTTTGAAAGAATTTGATAATTGACTAAAGAAGAAAAAAGGAAAAATGTTGGTTTTGGTCGAAAGTAAATATCTGGAAATAATAGTCAGAAGATCTAAATATAATATATCGTTGGAAAGTTGAGAATTTTATAAAAACAATGTCTAACATAGAATGTCGTAGAAGGTAATCAAAAGTGACGAAAAAATTATAAATAAAACTGTCTGAAAACTAAAATTATTTAGCGGAAACCACGTGTTTCCAAGAAAATTAAATGAATAGTCCGTGGTACAGGCCCCTTTTTATGAAGTTATTAACATCTCCCTAAACCTTCATGAGTGGCTTCATTTTGTCGTAGCCTACAAATATTTTACCTACGAAAATTCTCGGAATTAGGATGTTTGTTGTGATCTATAATCCCAACATGTAGTAGGAACGACGTAAACATTTATTAACATCCGGTTGATTTTCATATTAATGGTTAATTAATATGAGTACAATCAAATGATCATAGTGACCTAAAAAAATATTGGGGCATTTGGCGTGACCTATAATCTCTACATGTTGTCTGATCAACGTGAAAATTTATGAACATCCGGTTGATTTTCACATTATTGGTTAATAAAGATGAGTATAACCAAATGGTCATAGCGGCCTACAAAAATATTGGGGCGTTGTCGAAAAAAAAAATATATATATATCTACGTATTTATTACTGTAATTTTACTAAGTAGCTTAATTTTTTTAGTCTAATTTAAATTTTTTGGGAATATCACATCAACTATGAGATTTGACGCAAATATCGTTCTATACAAAGTTAAAGTACTTCAAAATCTCAATAAAAATTGTTTATTACATTTCCTTGATAAAGTAAATGGTTATGGAAATATTAAAGGGACAATATTAATGAAATTACATTTACAGTAAAAATTGCTTCAAACATTATAAAATCGCTATGTTCAATAGACATAATACCGATTCAAGGTTGAATTTGTTTTATATACATTTTATATACATCAAGCATTTAAAAACATAATCAAATTCTTTTTTTTTTTTTTTTAAATGTTTTGAATAATAATAATAAATTATCGAGACTCAAGAAAATAAATAGAAGGAATATTAATTGTCAATTAGTCTTATATATCTTCAAATGCACATTATTCGATAATTAATACCTTTCCACATTTCATTCTAGAAAATAAATTTTCTATTCCTGTAAGTCCTATCCCATTTTTCAGTCCACCACTGAAACCTGACGATGATTTATATAATGTTTATAGTAAGTTCATAATGAACAAGTTAATTTGTAAGTTATGACAAAATGAAGCCACTCACGAAGTTTTAGGGGGATGTTATTAATTTCATAAAAAGGGGCCTTGTACCATGGACTAGAAATTTATTTTCTAAACATAAAATTTTAAAATTATGTTCACATTTAAAAAAAAAAAAAATATATATATATATATATATATATATATATATATATATATAAAAATCCACCGAGTAAAGGCAATGATATTTTGTAAAAAGTTATTTCGTTAATTTGTAAAACATAAATTTATTACCGTAAATACATTTACTGTAGTATAATAACTCTAGATCCTATATTGCATGTAAATAATTAGGTGTCCATCATCGGTTTATTCCGAAAGACTATCATGTAACATTTTAGAAAATGAAATTAGTGAATAATTTAATGAATTTTCCCTTTTGTGAAATCATAACATTATCCACTTTCAATAGTGTGTCAACTTTTCAACTATCGACAGTAGGCAATGAAATCTCGGGAACTCCATTTTAGTAAACTTTAAAATGGAAAAATTAGAGTTTAATAACTAATAGTAGTACAATCGATTATAATTTATTGCTTAAATATACATGTATACTTTCAAATCTCTGGGCATATATAGCTCAGCGACTGGAGTTATGCTGTTAACAAAAACAGATTGAGTTACCAGGTTTTCATTGCCTCCCGTCTATATAATAAATGTGGTTTGTGTTATTTTAATGGTATGAATGAGTTCTTAGCTGTAAGGTTTAAGCTTTAGATCTGTTAAAAGTGCCCTTCAAAAATTGTATTATAGCTCAGCATTGTCAAAAAATAATTTCTATTCAAAGTAAATCAGTAAGTGAAATGTATGTGATGCGTGCAACTGATTTTTTTTTTTTTAATTTTTAGGAATTTTATTCCATGATCCTATTGATTATGTGACTTTAAGACCTAAATTCATTATTATAAATTATTTTATAAATTCTATTTATAAAATAATTTACAATAATGAATTTCTAGTCTTATTTTTCCCCAAATTGATTTAAGATAACCAAATCTCTTCTCTATTATGGAGACATTATTAAGGTTCTATTCTTTTATTTCAAAACTTTAAGCTCTAATAAGCAAATTATTACAACTGTACTCATCTGAAGATTTGCCATCTTCTATTGGTTTAGAACATATGAAATATCATTTCCTATTGCATGAGGCAATAATATTATTTTATTTTATTTAAAATAACCTCATTATTTAAGTATGTTTCTCCCAATGACCGAAAATGGTTTTGATTCCTTATTTTAAAGAAACCTTCATGGCTTTAAATCATTAAGCTCAAGAAATGAAAATTTTTTCCTTGTTATTTTGAAGTTTTATTTTTTCCTTTTCAATTGCCTCCATTCCATGAGAATTTGTTTCATCCAATCCATTATTTTGTGTGTTGTACAGGAAATTTGAATAAATCATTTTTAAAAACTACTGACTATAGTAACTTAATATTAACTGGTTTGTTATATTCCTTGGAAACTTATTTGGCTATCTTTTGCTAACCAGATTTGGCAAGCCTCCGACAAATAAAAATTCTGATTTTAGTTTTTTCCCTCTTGATTTTTAGCTCTAAATTATATTAAAATTTTATCATTTAATATTATATTAAATATTTTTCTACTGATACACTTAATGAATTTCCTTTATAACAATAATAACTATCAAAAAAATTTTTTTTTCATTTTCCGCTTAATCGTTTCATGAAAATCTATAATTTCAGAGGATATGGCCGATGAAAATGGTGATGCTAATGACCCAGATAAGGTTGCTTCTGTCGAAGAAGGTTCAGAAGCTGGAGGAGGCGTTGAATCAATAAGAGCTGAATCTGACCACAGATCTCGATCTTCGAGGGAGAAGTCTCGAGAAAGGAGGAGGTCTTCGTCGCCTAGAAGAGCTCATCCCTCCCATAGAGTTCTTTCCTTTTCTCAAATAAAAGAGGAACGAGATCGTGCTAGAGCTACAGAAAGGGCAAGGGCAGCAAGAGAAGAAGAAAGAAGAAGGCGCGAAAGGCACAGGGCCATCGAAAGGAAGCAGAGAGATGAGGCCATGAGACTGGAAAGAGAAAGGGAAAAAATACGTATAGAGAGAGAGCGACTAGAGCGAGAAAGAGCTGAACTTCTAAGACTTGAGAGGGAGAGATTAGAAAGAGAGAAAGAAGATTTAAAACGTCAACAGCTTAAGTAGGTCTATCTAATGATCTGTTGATACTGCTATTCTATCATTTAAACTTTACTAATTGTAAATTACATTTCAAAGGTTAGAAGAAGCAAGGCGAAATAAGAGAACACTTAGTAGTTCAAGAGATGGCTATGATGATAGGAAGAGAGTAGCTACTGAATCAGCGAGGAGATATGAAGCTGTCCATATGTCTCCCCCGTACGTTTGTAATTCAATTAATTTACATTTTATATCTTTGCAGTTAAATGAAATCTTGGGAAAATGTTTTTGTTAAGTAGTCAATATCTATCTTTAGAAAATCTATTAGCTTAAACAATCTTTTAATACTCGGTTTTTTTATCGTATTCAACTATAGCTGGCTATTACAGAATATTTTGTGATAATTTATTATTATTTAATAAGATTATTCACTCCTGATATAGGCGAGGTGATTACAAGAAAGACTCACGACGTGAAGCTTTATCTCCTGGGCGTGGCAGGTATGAAGATGCTTCACGTTCATCGAGACGTGATGAACCCACTCGTGTTAAAGACAGGTAATATCAAAAGGAGATAAATATTCAGAAGTCATATCGGCGGGTGGTAGGGTGGGGAGAGACCGTTTATTTAAAATTTTTGTTTATCGTTAGGTTATCTGCCTTAACTTCTAAATTCCCCCTACGTACTTCTAAATTCCCCCTACGTCCATTTCTTGATGGAAAATAAAGATAATAATTTATTAAATACAGATATTTATGAAATTTATTTCATTTAATATTAATCATTATAGGGTACTTCTTTGGAAGTATTGCTCCACTTTGACAGGTGACTCACTATAAGAGCTCATGAAGCTATAAATGGATTTCGTGGAATGGCAAAATTTTGTCATTAGGTACAAGAGTACAACCGCCTGTTATTTAGACAGTCATTTATCACTTCAGCCAACTTCCAATTGGTCTTTTTCAATTGAAATCAGGACCTTAATTACAACATTGCTTTCGAATTTTGCTCACTGAAAAGGAATAACAAATGCTCTAAACTCAGATATTCTCTTAATTCCAATTACTGTCGATTATGCCCACGACACAAAGTAGACCAACCCTTATAAGTACCCATTACAAATATTTATGAAATTATACGTACTATATTATTTCTTTATTTCCTTCATGACTCATTTTGGACAATGCCGTTAAATCAGAACATCTCTCTGCCTGCCCTGTCATTGCTTTTCGACTCGAATTTCTCACTTCTCTGTTTATTAGTTTCGTAATTTACTATGCCTAGATTGATCCATTGTTTAAGATAATTATAGGTTCCATAATAGGTCTTAAGTGAGTAATAATGATCCCTTTGCTTATACTTCATCAAATTACTAGTTTAATTAACTTATGGGATGTCTTTAATGTTTATCTGTTCACTTGTATTCCTTTCAGTACTATATAGTTAGAAGGTTGATTTCATTAGGCTCTTTCACTCTCTATCATTCCTTTCTTATATCTGCTAACTTATCGTATCGTCTTTAGCTACCCTACTGTAATAAGCATTTTAGATACTTTATCTGAGATACCATCATAATTTTACGCAAGGAATCCTAATTCTCCTGGTAGACTAATTTTTCAGTTATAATAATTAAAGAATCAAGTGGATAATGGTGAAAAGTTGATTTTAACATTAACTTTGTTATGGACATAATATTGAATTTATTTGATGGAAGAAATATTATGTAGTATCTCAAAACCTTTATTCATTTGACTCTCAAATAAATTTTAAAATATTCTTACCATAATAACTAAATACATTTTATTTTATGATCTCTTCTTTTGTATTAAACAGGAGTTACTCAGAGCGAGCTGCAGCTGCAGGAAGTTCTGCAACATTCAGGACAAGAGACGACAGAGATAGGCGAGAAGAAGGTGGTCACAGGCTTAAATCTGATTCCAGCAGGGGTTCACATCGTGAAGCTCCTGGCTCTAAAGGTAGTCTTTAAGTATTTTATTAATTCATGATTTCATAGTTGAAATGTTAAGTTCTAAAGTTTTATGAGGAAATGATCTGGTAGCTGACAGGTATGCCAATGACGGTTGGGGTACAGGTGTAAGCAAAGGCTTCAGCTCTGTATCAGGAGGAAGTGCTCGTGATTCCTGGAGTATGTCCCAAGAGAGGAAGCCAGAAATGTCTCCTTGGGCTCGCCCTCCGACACAGTCTGAACGGTAATGAATTTATTTTTGTTTCAATATATATATATTTTATTTTTTGATTTGATTCAATCCTTTAAATATTTAAAATCATTTTTACTATATATATGAACAAGAATTTGTGCTAAAACTTAGTTGACATGACCAAGAGTGATTTTAAATTTTTTTACTGTTTTTTGAAAATACATCATATTGGTGTTAAACTAAATATTTTATGAAATGCACTCAAGAATCATAAGTGATATTAATTATTTTAATTTTTTATGTAAATAGGTATTTTTATTTAAATAATTTGAATGACTGACTAAATGAGAAAAATGAAATGATAGCGACTAAAATATTCAAAGAGAAATCAATTTTTTAAATAATTGTTGTTAGGAGGCCTTTGCAGATAGTGCATTGGTGTTGCTTTTTCTTCCACCAATTTTTAATTCATTAAATTTATACATTTTAATCATTTTGATGAATTCTTATTATATTGTAAAGTTAAAAATGTATTTTGTGACACTAAAGATCTATATATTGTACATTTCAGTGATTCCCGTGTAAAAATATGTTAGGCTTCCAGTTACCTAAAACTTAGAAACTTGGATACAGAATGATTCATCGTTGACTATATATTATTGTGAAATCTGGTTCTTGTCTTTTTCATTTGAACCCCGTTTCAATGCTTGCAAACTTATTGAACCAAAACTGACATGGAAGGCAGAACTGGAGTGAAATTATTGAAATATTTGTTTAGTTTTGCTAAGAGAAGCCATTTAAGACTCCAAGAAGATCACTTTTTCCATGATTTTAATTTTTTTTCTTTTTTCTTTTTATTAATACAAACCAGAATGATTGAGTGATTCTAATCTTTATACGTTTTGCTGAATAAAGTTTATTTTTATAAAAGTTTCATGTTATTTTTTGTAGAAATAAGTTATTGCATTAGGTACAATGAAATTCCTCTGTGGCTTAACAACCATGGGGGTTGTTTCACTGTATGTTGAAACGGGAAAAATTTGAATACACTACAGGTTAAATTGAAAGGGTTAACATTAGAATGAAACTGCTCCAAAAAACAATTTATATTTGTTTGGAATATAGTACATTTTAATGTGTTTTTAAAGAGTGAACTCATAAATAAGTTACTGTCGACCAGGAATCATCTGACTCTCATCTTGCTTCAGTACTTTACACTATTTCCCACAAGATCGATTAGAGGCATGTTGGCGTCTTTCACCGACAATATTAGACTTTGTTTTGTGTTAGCCCATGCACTTGTGTATATGTTCATATGATTTTTATTATGTATACTTTCATTGATGGGAAATGATTGTACCACTAATTAATTAATTTTAATTTTTTGTGCCAATTATTTTTAAAATTTCTGTTGTTAATGTCGGTTATAAAAGTGTCATATAAACTGTTTCTTTCTGGAATTTTGTTTGAAATTTGAAATAGTTAATAAAGAGATATTGCCGAAAAGTATTCAGTTAAGCTTGAGCAACTTTTAACATATCACTGTTTTGTATATATGTATAAGCCTTGAAGGGTCTTGGGTTCATGATTTTGTAACATGGGCTTTTTCGAAACCAATGGTTGTGCAACTAGGTGATTTAATCAGGTCATGCTGGACAACTTAAGTTTTTCTCCCAACACCAGAGCTCATCCTTAGTTGAAATAACAGTATACATATCTACCAAAGCCAGGCCCAGGAAGTAGGAGCACAGTGCCTTACTCACTGAGCTATTTTGCTCCCATTATAAATATCTAACCTCACCTATATGAATTTTCTATTTAAATAATGTGTTTTTGTTTTTTCTATTGATTCATTGTTATTTTAAATTTTTTTTTTTTTAATCTTTAATATATATTTATTTTTTATTTAAATTCTTAATTCACATTTAACATAATATTAGTTACAATTTGTAAATCAAATGACAAAATGGAAAGTAATGACATGTCAAATGTGGAAATGTGGGGTTGGTAAAATTTAAACTATTCTTTCATAAAAAGAGTTTCATAGTAAACAGTAAGTATCTTAGTTATCTGTAACATAAATTATAAGAGTTGATTATAAGGTTTTTTGTTTTTAATATGAGGGGGTAATTAGTCACATTTTCAACAATTTCTACTTACATCCAGAAACATCTTCAAAAATGGTGTTTATTGATATGTGCAGTGATGCAAAAATAAATTGTTGACTATTTTACTTCATAATTACTTTCAATTAAACCTTAATAAAGAATTTATCTCTATAACTGTATTAATATTAATTTGTTTGTTTCTCAAAATGAAGATTAATCTACTTATACCTCTCTGGCTCTAACCCCCTGATACGAATTTATATAATTTAATTTATGTTTTAAACCATATTTTGATAATAAATGTGTAGTTTCTATTTTAATTAACTTTTATTTTCTAATTGGATGGGTTTTCAAATTGGTAGATGGGTATCAAACAGTTCGATGATGGTGTCAGGGCGAAGCGGTCCAGGACATCTCTACCCTCCTGGCATGGCTCCTATGCCCTCATCGATGGGAATACCAATGGGCTCTGGCTACCAGCAAGGAGATAGATTTGATGCATACAAGCCTATGGGTTCTGCTCCTAGGAAGTATTAACTTAAGGAAACGTTTATATGTTTTACAAAAGTTTGTAACTCAATAGACAGTTATGTTTTGTTTTGTTTTCATTTCTTTTATATTTGAAATGATTATAAAAGATCCAGACAGTCCTAGCATATTTTTTATTTGATGTGTATATTCTGTTTTATTTTAGTGTATATTAGATGTATTTTTATAATACCTAATAAAGTTTATCTCGAAGTTTTATTCTTTATGAAATTGTATATTGTTTTGACTCATTTTTTGACATTGTCATGTCATATTGTTCTTTAAAATCGATGTTTTTAAATTTAAACATTATGAATTTAAATTTTTTTTAATACGTGAATTTTTTTTTTTTTTTGACTTGTAAATATTTCTATATCAATTTTTTCTTTTGATATTTATCGGAGTCTAAACTTGTTCTTAATCTTCATCATACATTCCTCTCAAAATAATTTCTGTTTTAAGTATCTAATTTTTAAGAACAATAAAAGGGACAACATAATATAATTTATGTATAAGAAACATTGATTTAGTATTGGAATGATTGATGTATGCCATTATATGTAAATCATAATTTTTTTTATCTTCAAGTTTTGACTTATTTATTCTGTATTGTAAAAAGAAGATATTTTCAAAGCATCAAATTTCCTTTCTCTGTTGTTGAGATTGATTTGTAATTAATTCTTCAGTTATATGTAGATAATAATTACTTAGTTTACTACACGTTACCATAAGTGGTATTGTTTATTTGTATTATAATAAAATATATTATTGTGTACTAAAATCTTGTAAGCATTTCCAGAAGTCAAATTTGTAAATTAAACTCAGATGTTTTACGTAATGTTTAAGGCTCTCTCATGATTATGAAGTTCAAACATAAGCCATATAACCATAATATAATTAAGGCTTCTTTTTTTAGCTGGTTTAGTGCATATTTTATGTATAAAGAATATAATAAACTCCTCTTACTTTTACTTTTTTTTTCTTCAAAAATGTAACCTGTCCATAGTTGATCAAATATGTCATAAATCTTAAAATTTTACCAAGTATTAAATTATACGGAAGGAAAACAATTAATGTCACAATATGTGTGGTCACACTTTAAATCCAATTATTAAAGAAAATAGAAAAAATCATGTTATATCATAAATTTTGTATTGTATTTTACAGATAATAAGTTAATGATAATTTGATTCTATTTTGTTACATTAAATACATACAATTATAAACGTCATTGCATCTGAACAATGCAATTCTCTTTCTAAATCAGTGATTAATTTTTAAAATATTTGAAATAGTTCCTTAGAAATGCACTTGATGCCAGAAAAAGCTATTCTTCTACACTCCTAAATGCTATAGCTATAGGGCTATGATAACGTATTTTGACCTGTGAACTTATATTAAGAGAATTAATGGGGTAGCAAATTAATAAAGGGAATATGAACAGAAGAATAAATAGTGAAAACCTTGAATAGTGTGAAAGAAGATTATGTATTTCACGTTTTTCAATAGCTTAGACAGCACTTTTATTGTAATTAGTGGAAACACTTAGGATCGGTTAAGAAAAAAAAAAGAACGTACCATGTGAAGACTATTAAACAGCGAACAATCGTTAAATCAAATTATATATTTAAGAAAAGTTACAATACGTTGGTCTAATTAATTCAAATGCATCATATTTTAGTACACATACAGGCTATCAATCAATATTTGTAGACACTTTTAAATTTCATTTTAGCCAGTTAGTTCTGTATTCTGACTAGGAGAGATTAGGGAAGTTGTATTGTGGTTTAAAAAGTTTTTATAGTAAAGTAGTAAGTCAATTTATGAGATGACGATTCGACTTGTTTTCTAATCATGAACAACTATTCCAAATGATACACTGAGTGAAAAAAATTTATTATTCGTATTTTCAAGTCCACAATATTATTTTGAAAAATTATAAAATAAAAAGAAAGAAAAAAAAATTTGTTTGGTTCAGACTTTATTATCGCAGCCGACCACAGGTCTAACTAACATCTATTTGTTTATTAAGACTAGAACCCTTAAAAATATTAAAACAATTCCAGCTGTGTCTATGATTTAAATATAATTTTATCTTTTAAAATGAATTAAACTTATTAGTTTATTTTTGAAGGAGGGTCTTTTTGAAATTATTGACCCTAAAATAAAAAAGTATATAATTTTAAGTATATCGTTATGTATTATATAAATTAAATTGAATACTTAATAGTTGACCGTTGTATAATTAAGGAAGGAGAAGAAGAAGGAGAGGAAGGTTAGGGGTGGCAGTCATAAATAGACTAGATAGTGGCACAACTGTTTTATTAAAAACCAACGTTTCTACCCGACTGCAGGTCTTCAGGGCTGGAACGGACAAGATACAAAAAGATATAGAGAATTGTGGAAGTTACATCATATTTAGATAAACATTATAAAGAATGTGAATAAACTTTTTAAAATTATAAACAGTAAGTACATTAAAATATTAAGAACAATAAGTTGTATAAACACAGAGTAAGCTAAGTAGCAAGATCCTAAACTGAAGTTAATAGGTGGTAACAATTGTATAATATAAAATATAATACATGCAATTGTGAATTTACTATAGATCTACAGGAGAGATTGGAAGAAAAGGAAAAAGGATATAATTTGAAATAATGGACATGAAGGGATGTGGAGAAAGAAAAGAAAAAACAAAAAATAAGTAAATAAAATTAGAAGAATAAAAATAGAGACAGGTGTGTTCAGTAAGGAGCTTGACTTAGAACTGAAAAGTCAGAGTAAGTATTGGGGAAATTTGCTGACCTGGTTAGGGAATGTTGAGGTAAGTAGTAAAAGTAAAACGAAACCTGGAAAATAACAGTATCTAAAATTTGAAGATATGGTTGGATACAAGGGAAAATATTATATCTATGAAATAATTAATTATAAATATATGCATATACATGTAAAATAGAATTAAGAAATTATAGATAGGAATACAATGTGAATAAAAACAAAAATGAAAGAAGTAGAATATTAATATAAAAATAAGAGAAGAGACCCTACACATTGCAGAACTAATTAAAGTATAGTATAGAGAGGAAACAAATATGAATAATTATAATTATACTTAGTTGTGCATATGTAAGAAAATTACATTTTAAATATTAGATAATATTGAGACAATTGTTAAAAAGTAAAATGAATACAAAGTAAAAACAGATGATCATACATTGATGTAGAATGTAAATATAAAATTAAAAATAAAAGAGAGACCATACAAAGTGGAAATACTTAAGAATAATGAACGATTAAATTGAATTAATCAATAAAAATTTAAAATGGATAAAAAAAAAAAAATGTAATAAATTAGTTATTTTTCACTTATAGATATAAAATGTGCCTATACCTTAAAGAAATGGGTACTTGTGAGGGACGCGGCCTCTGCTATCTGCAGTTATCTTGTTATTTAAAGTGTTGTTGTTATTTATATTTCTTATTATTAAATTACTATATTATTATTATATTTATATTTCTTATTAATATATACATTAATAAGAAACAGCCAAAAAAGATGCAACACCAAATATATTTATATTTCTTATTATACAAGAGTCTTAATTTCATATGAAGATAGGGATTATCAGTGCCTTATAACAATTATCAGTGTTCAGGTTGTAAACATTTAATAATAAGAAATATAAATAACAACAACACTTTAAATAACAGGATAACTGTAGATAGCAGTCCGTAGAGGCCCCTTCGCTCACAAGTACCAAGAAATGCAGTTTTTATCTACATTATGATTAACAGGATTCTGTTCCATGTGAATGTGGATGGATTCGAAAATGAGTCTTTTTTCATGGCTAGGGACCGTGGCAAGAATAGAGTTTTTCTCAAAATCAAATGAATGGTTGAAGGTTAAGGCATGTTCTGATAGTTGGGAGGCGGAAGGGTTCCAGGAAGTTATGGATGTTTTATGTTGGGAAATGCTGGTTTTCAATTGGTTTTTTGGTTTCGCCAATATAAGAGCTATTACAATTAGGAGTAGAGGAAGGTATCCAGTAAATTACATTATATCTGGGTATTGTACAAGTATGGGATCCTTCAAGTTGGTGAAAAGAAAAGAAAGTTTGGTTTATTCTTATTTGTTTCCTCTCTATACTTCTAAATTAGTTCTGCAATGTATGGTCTCTTATCTTTATATTTATATTCTACTTCTTTCATTTTTGTTTTTATTCACACTGTACTCCTATCTATAATTTCTTAATTCTATTTTATTAGCATATGTATATATTTATAATTTATTATTTCATAGATATCGTATTTTTTTCTTGTATCCATCAACATCTTCAAATTTTAGATACTGTAATTTTCGTTTTACTTTTACTACTTACCCCTCCCCCCCCAACATTCCACAACCAGGTCAGCAAATTTCTCCAATACTTATTCTGGTTTTTCAGTTGTAAGTGAAACTCCTTGCTGAACACACCTTTTGTAGATCTGTAGGAGTATATTCACAATTGCATATATTATATTTTATATTATACTACAACAATTGTCAGCATCTAGTCACTTCAGTCAGTTTAGGATCTTGTTACTTAGCTTACTCTGTTTACACAACTTATTGTTCTTAATATTTTAATGTACTTACTGTTTATAATTTTAATAAGTTTGATGTAATTTCCACAATTCGCTATGTTTTATTATATCTTTTTCGTTCTAGCCCTGAAGAAGACATGCAAGGTCGGGTTGAAACGTTGGCTTTTAATAATATAGTTTTGCCACTATTTAGTCTATTTTTGATAATAGATAGATGATAATAAATCCATCCTGGGCCATCTGCTTCCTCTATAATGCTACTACTAATAATAATAATAACCATCAACTATTAGTCATTCAATTTTTTCAATAACTTCAAAAAATAGGTTCCTTCCGTCTTTCAACCAGTATGCGGGCCGTGGAATTTATTCGAATTCACTATGTCAATCAAACGGACTAAAACTCATGGGTCTCGAGTTAGATTATTGCTTCCCATAGTTTGTGAAATGTCTGAACACATCTTTATATACTTATTTGATATGTTTCTCTTTGGACTCTGCTGCCTCTATGGCTGAATGTGAATGTTTATAACCTTTAGTAAAGGGTAGTGATTACAGTGATAAGGAATGTAAAATTATTTTTTCTGTTAGTAAATCTATATTTTTTAGTGACATTCTAAAGATTGAATAAGCTATTCAGACAGGTGAGTTAACGCTATATATTATTTTATTTTTTTTTAGAAATGTTAATTAATAAAATTCCATTTTAATTTGTTTTTTTTTATTGTCTGTTTGAATTTATTTTATTTTAAATATTTTTTCAGTTATTATTATAAAGTGATTATAGTTTAGATATAATAAATATTTCAAAGGAAAATTGTATTTATTTGGAAAATTGTAGTAACTCAGTTATTTTGTTGTTGAAAGTTATTATGTTTTTTATTATCACCTCCTGGCACTGTTTTTCTTTATATTATTTAACCTAAATACTTACTTACCTGATTGTTGTTGTTTTTTTTTGTTTTGTTTTTTTGTTTTGAAGCCTTTAATTTTTTTTATCCCTTGTGTTTTTATGGAATGTACTACCCATAAATGTTTTTTGACTCTCACACATCTGGTTATCTTATATGTAATATTGTAAGTTTGAAATTTTTTTTTTTTCAACTTGTCTCATTTATTATAACAGTCATGACCACTAAAATTCTAGAATTAAAATTTACTTATTTTTTTATTACTTTCTCTGGATGATCACTGAAGAAAGGATTTTTCAAGGTGCAGGAATTTATTAATTTATAGAATTAATAACTTTTCTTTTTTATTTTAAGAAAAATAAGGTACAACAGGATATAACATTTTTAAAATGCATTTTATTAATGCCATTCTGGCTGTTGCTAACACTCAAAATATTAAATAATTTGTTATGAAAGAGGAATTAAGGTCTATATATTTATATATTTTTTAAATTACAGCCTTCATTTTATTTTGTGAAACATACAGAAATAATTAAAAATAATCTAATATCTATGAATTGTCATCCTTATATATTTTTTTCATTTTACTTTTTTTGGATTGATTTTTACTATGTTTCAAGAAATTTGACATAAATAAAAGCACCTTTAATACAGACAGTAAATTTTTCTGAGGTAACTATGTTGATCTTTTGCCTCCCCAAGCATAGAAGTCCGGACCTCTTCTGATTGGGCGAAGAAGTGAACCCCAAGACCTGTCTTTAACTCCATTAAATAATACACGTTGCATAGGAAGTGACCTGGCTTGTATAGTATGGCTATCATCACTTCGTTTCCCTCCCCAAGAGGAAAATATTGGTTTACGTTTGTATGCAATTGATGGGCTATTCCATGAATAAGCACTTCTTTTCACAATCATACTTGGGTATTCTCTTCCATTGTTTAAATCTCCAACTGATTCATTCCCTTGATTTCCTCCCCAGCTTCCTACTTTGTTTGTATCTATATCATCTCTTTTTCCTGCCCATGAAGAGAACTTGGCTCTTTTTTCTTCTGCTTCAGGTTTCAGAAACCTTATAAGACTTTCATTGTCTGATACTGTTTCATCACTTCTCTTTCCAGCCCATGAAGAAAATCTTGCTCTTTTTCTAGACATTAGATCTTGCCAAAGTTTCATTATATTTTCCGAACCTTGCTCTCCTCCTGCGTTTGAGTAGTATCGTAATTTGTTATCTGGAGAGTTCCAAGGAATTCCAACATAATCAGGTGCTCTTTTACCAGCCCAACTGGAAAACTTTTCTCTTTTTACTTCAGAAATTTCATCTTCATCAGTATTGGGTTGGAAGTAACTTCTTTTCCCAGCCCAACTTGAAAATTTAGCTCTTTTGTCTTCAGCTGTTTCATATTCATTTTCGGGTTCTAAGTAGTTTCTTTTTCCAGCCCAGCTATTAAATGGAACACGTTTTTCATCATAAAAGACATTATCACTGCGTTTACCAGCCCAACTGTTGAACCTGGCTCTTTTTCCTGCCCATGATGAGAATTTTGCTCGCTTGTCTCCTTCTAAATCCATTCTTTTTCCTGCCCAACTGTTAAATTTTGACCTTTTGTCTTCTGATATTTCATTAAGATTTCTTTTACCAGCCCAAGACGAGAATCTTGCACGCTTTTCTGCATCATTATCGCTTCTCTTCCCGCCCCAGCTTGAAAATCTTGCTCTTTTTTCCTCTTGTATATCTTCATCAATTTCATTGCTTCCCAACTCATAGCTCCTTTTTCCTCCCCAACTTGAGAATTTCGCTCGTTTTTCTTCTGGAATATGATTTCTTTTCCCACCCCAACTGGAAAATTTATATTTCTGATCTCTTTTTTCTAAATCAGACTCTATGGTGTTTTCATTGGATATTGTTCCTCTTTTTTCCCTCATGTTTTCTTCCGATGAATTTACGATAGATTTTCTAAGTGGAAGTTCTTCTAATGTGTTTATTGTATGATTTTCAAATACAGGTTTGCTAGTTGAGGTTGAAGACTGATTTCCTCCAGGCCATGCTGTTATACGTTGTGTGGTGTGACAAATGATGGTCATTGACAGTAACCAGAGAACTCCCATCCTGTAACAATAAATACATACTTTAAAATTGTTTATCATATTTTAAAATTCACAAAAAGATAATTTAGCTAATTTTGGGGTTTATTTACTTTGCTAGTGTAAAAAAATGTCATTTGGTTTTTCTCATTATAATTGTTGCCATACTTAAAATTTTAGCTTAATTTATTTTTCATATTTGATTTTTAAAATTTATTACCAATGATATAAACTCATTTGTTCAAGATTTCAAAAGTTTTTACTCATAAAATATTTCAATTTTTTTCTAATCTGTTCATGTGTGATAATTACTATCATCGCTGCAATCTGAATTAATAATGAATAAATATGTAGTTTATTAATTAAACTTAAGAAAAAAAAATATTCTGCTGGTGTAAACAGTTTCTAAATCTGTCTGAAATTCTATTCAAATCAGGCTGAAAGTCACTTTATGTAATAAAATATTATATTTTATAATGTAATAAGATATTACTGTTATAAAATTATTAAAAAATTAAAATTACCGACTACTGTTCTACATTGGAGTTAGTATATTCTTTTCTAGTGGATGTGGTTGATATAAAAGTATTATACATGTGTTAATTGTTCCAATCGTGTTGATCATGTAAAGGGTCTCAGACTGTTCGTGGAGGGAAGAGTGCAGTCGGCAAGTGTCATTTATAGAAACTTTTTAGAAATAACATTATTATGCCAGAACATCTTTAAGAAAGTTTATGTCTCCTATTAAAGTTATTCAAAAATTAAATAATGTTGCACTTTTTAAAGTAATGATTTTTTTTGGTTTTCACTAAAAGATATGTTTAGTTAATTTTAGCTGTTATTTTAAGCATTACTCAAACTTTAATCTGTAATTTAATCTGTAATCAAACTTTAAACTGTAATTTCAATTAAAAATAATTTTTTATTAAATAACTAGTTTGTGAATAGGACTCCAATAAATATTTTCGTTTATGTTTTATAATAATATTATACTGAATTATTAATATATGAAAGTATTATAAAATATAATAGTGTTTTTATTAAATTGCCACTTCTTCTACTCAAAGTGATTGGTGCTTTTGACAATGTTTGAAATATTGCACTCAATTTAATTCCCTACTAATTTATTTTAGTTATTTAATTTAGTTAAATTAAAAAAATAAATAAAAAATAATATAATAATTAAATTTTTTTTTTTTAATTTTTTGGACAATTATATTATTGCATTAATATTTGATCATTAATGCAATCAATATAATGTACCAAATACGTTATTATAGCACTATAACTAAGCCATTTATGAGCACTGAATGGTGTGGGAGAGGCCGGTAGGCACCCACGCCAGTACCACTTTTCTGCCGCTTAAATGCATTTGCTGCGGAACTGCTTTAAATATTTTAAAAGAGGAGTATATTCTCCAGATGTTTTATCTCAGCACGTTTTGCGTTATTGTTGGCCGTTTAATTACAAATGACGCTTGATTTTCAATTTGAAAATTTGTTTGTTAAAAACATTGAATTTACTGGTGGTTTTTATTGCCTAATCCAATTATTTTTTTAATACTTGTTCATGTTTTATTATTCTCTGACTATTCAGCTTTAATAAAAGACCAACTATGAGGAAATTAAGCCAAATGCTGACTCTCAGTGACCAAAAAACTAACTAAAGTCAAAGTTGTCAATCTACCATGTTTGGACGCCATTTTGGGGCAGTGCGTTCACTTTTTTTTGTGGGAACACTAGCTTGTTTTTAATAAATAGTTACAAGGAACAAAACGATATGCAATTTATAGGGATGTGAGGGGGGGGGGGGAGAGGAGGGAGGGAGAGTGCACGGTACTGGGTCTGGCCCACAGACTATTTATTCTATGAACATGGTATTATGCAGTTAGTGGAAAGATGAGAAAATGTCATTAAATAATGGTCAATATATTGTAGCTTAAAATAAATTGTATGTCTCTAATACACTGAGTTTTATTTCACCCCGAAAAACCGAAAGGACTTATTTTCCAACCCAATAATTATGCCGTTTTCATAAATGCAGTCATTATTATTATTTAATATTTAATTTTATAGATTACAGTTAATAAACATTTAAAAATTAAAGTTTGTATATATATCAATACTTAAACAAATCAAATTACCTATAATGAAGTATAAATAAATAAATAAATAAATAAATAATAATATATAACTAAATAACTAAATAATAAATAAATAAGCCTTCTTTATCAGCCCATCTAAAAAATATTTGGTGGCACTTAATTATTTATTTTAATCAAATAAATAATTAAATTGAAAATTCGGAAAAGGAAATGGTTAGTGGTAAAAAAAAAAAATGATAAATATAATACATTAGACGGCTGTGAAAAACATATAGGAATTAATTGTTATATATTTTGTACCGTCTGAAAATTTTACTTTCACTTCCCTTTCTCTAAATTACCTACTTTTATTTAAAAAAAGGTGTAAAGCCAAAGATGTGTAATGCGCGCATTGCACCAATTTTTTTTCTCTTTTTCGAAATACAAGATTGATGCGACTACGAGGCAGTTTTTCCCAATTATTTCATCTTGGAAAATTTCTTAATTTCAACGATGATCCATTTTGCGGTTCGCCGCAACTCATTACAGTTTTAATTTTAATTTTACTGGATTCCACTGGGTCGTTTTCTTTTCAAAATGACCCCAGCAAACTTAATCGCTGCAGATGTCGATCGGATGATTTTAGTATTTGGCAAAAGTCGAAACAACGTGTAACACAGAAGGTTTATGTATTTTTTAAAAACTGAATCAGGTGGTGATATTAATTTCTCAATAAAATGGTGCTGAAACTAATTATTCTCTCTCCGCAAACATCTTGTGGTTAAAATGTGTATGAAGTCTTGTGAACGGAGAGACCAGATATTTAAATTCAATGTTAGTATTTTTTTATTTTTTGAGCTCCATGGTCTGATTTTTTTAAACATATCTTATTTTTTTAGGTACGTACACACTCGATACACACCGAGAAAAGTGTATTCGATCTATTTGTACATCATTTTTCCAATTATTCTCCTATTAAACTTTGTGTCTATATTTATGTTCTCCAACTTAACTGACATTACCGCAGTACCCAGATGCAGTTAAAATGATAGGTGTTCTATAAAGAAGATCCTTTTGATAGATATTTAAGTTGTTATGCGCCGAGAGCGAAGGAAAGCGGCGGGTTAAGCACGCCCTGGCTCACACTAATTGTGCTCTAGCAACCGCTCGGAAAATTGCTATTCTTTGAAGTTGTTACTAACAAAGACATGTTTCATATAACGAGAGCTCATTAAGATACTAACCAACTCCCTGTCAGTCTCATAACCCCACCTGCTCAAATATTGTCCTGATTTTGTATGTGCACCGATGTAAAACAATTTTTCGAGATATTTATTATATATTCTTTATTTCCAACTCGGCTTAGTTAACCATACATGGATATATATATTAGCGAGAAGAAAAAATTTAACAATTGGTAAAGTGGGGGTATAGCCTCATACAAAAGACACCTCTAACGATACATGTCACAGTGAGGCGAGTAAGGACCTTTTTTTTAGAACTCCAAAAGCTATATAAACTGTTTTATTGATATGTTGTGTTTTTGGCGGAGTTTCCGAGAATTTTTTCAATTGGCACAATATACATTTTTCACTTTTATTATTCAATAGATCAATTGAAAAAAAAATTAATTTATCCGGTGTCGCAAGTTTTCCCTTACTCGTCCCACTGTGCGCAGTTGCCCGGCGACCTGATCAAAGATATATTTTGATGAAATAAGTACGTGTTCGCGTTCTAGTGCCGGGGGATGTAACTACGGCGTAATCTTCTACTCTCACCCCCTGCAGAGATGGGCAAATGTTACTCTGAGTACCGAACACCAAGTATTTTACTCATATCGTATCACTATTGGGAATTTAATCACTACTTCAGTTAATCTTTTGGCATCAACTGAAGAAGTAATTAAATTCTTTGGTACTCAAATAAAGTCAGTATTTGAGTGATATAACCGGTACTCAGTACTCTTAAGGCGAGGAAGGGGAGGATCAATGAAAATAAAAGGAACACCATTAGTGGCCTTAGTATTGTCTTTTAAACTAGGACAGTGGTGTTTGGTTTGAGGCTTATTTTCCTATTGATAACGGAATATAGAATAGTCAGGTTAGCATAGGGTTATGTTAATTTAGTATTGATGTGGTGATTCCAGGCGACCATCTAGATGAATACTAAACTAAGGTATTTTACTGCAGTTCGAGTGGATCCCTTGGCCATCGAAGGGTAAAAATTTTAGCATTGCATTTCTGAACATTGAGGTTAATCTTCCATTTACTGAAGTACTGCTCTAAATCGTTAGTAGATTTTGAAAGATATTTCTCGCCGTTATTATGTCGTTGTGCTGAGAAGAGACTGATGGGTCGTCATGCAGATAAAAGTTAAAGAGGGTGGGTGAAAGAAGTTTAGTATAGTGTAGTAGAATAGTGTTAGAAAGTTTAGGCAACTTTTTTTTTGGTTGAACGCTTTATTAAAAAAAAAACAGAAACAATTTAAAGGAGCTCATGTGTAGTGTCGAACTACAGGGATGTTAATATTGAAAAAGAAAATGATATAGATTTTTTAAAGATCGCAGGAAAAAAAACCATGGCCAAAAAATTGAGAAAGATGATAAGTATTGAAAAACGTAGTTTTGTTATTTTTGAGCAATTTTCTTTGTCATGTTTCTAGCTTTAACTTTATTTATTTAATATCTATATAAATCAGTAGAAAACAAAAATTGAATATATGCGAAGAATGCTTTAGACAGAGAAGCAGTAGTTAATTCTAATTAACAGTTGATATACCTGTTTCAAAGGCTGTTCCAACCCATTAGGGAAAAATTTAAAAATACTACCTCTTAAGAAAATTCAGGGCTGAGAGGAAAGGTGAGGTGAAATTTACATTTATACTAAGAAAGGGGATAGCGATCAATTCTAATTTAGAAGTAACTAAGCGAATATTATTTGGAAG